AATTGATCAAACAGCCTATTTAAGCAGCTAATAAAGCCCCCAAACAACTAATTAAATGCTCTATGATAGAGGACAGTCTTTACCTGGTGCCAAAAGGATGCTAAGGTTGGTGCCAGGCACGCCCCAGTGGGGAGATCATTCCATAACTGTGGGGGTGGACAGCCATTAGAAAAATACATGGAATAGAATGAGTGGCTATATGCCTGCTCATGCCAGTTGCTGGGGAGATTGGGTAGGAGAGTGCTTTTGCACTAGGGTCCTGCTTATGGGTTTCTGGTGGGCAGCTGGTAGGCCAGTGTATGAACAGAGTGCTCAGCATGGTTCTTCATATGAAGGTGCAAGTAAATAAGCATGCAAGCTGTTAACACTGGAATTCCAGAAAAACCCTGTGCAATAAACCCTATGTTTACCTGGCACCAACCTTTTTGACTGGAGCTTACCCAATCACTGCATTTTCTTTGAGGTGCGACATCTTCTCTGAGGTGAGACTGATTTTTTAAATGATTTTAATTCCAGAAAACCCTATGCAGTAATCTGCGGTGTGCATCAATCTGCAATTTGCTCCAGAATTTTTCCAGGGATTGATGCCAGACTAAGTGGTCTTATAGTTCCCAGATCCTTTTTTCCCTTTTTTGAAGATGGGGACAATGATAGCCCTTTCCCAGTAGTCTGGCACTTCTCATGTTTTCCATGATTTATTGAAGATAATAGACAGTGGTTCTTATGAATTCCTCTGCTAGCTCTTTTATGATTCTGGGATGGAGTTCATCAGGCCCTGGAGATTTAAACATGTTTATTCCATCTAGGTATTCCTTGACCATTTGTTTGTCAATCTTGGGCTGCCATCTCTCACTTTCAGCTTTTACTGCCTCTTCTTGTGGGTTATAATACTAGTTGTTTAATTTTCAGTCCCTTTCCTAATTATGCCGGACATGGAGTCTGCCTTTTTCACAACAGTCACACAGTGGTCTGACATCACTGAGCTCTCCTCAAGATCTCTTCCTTGTTCAGCCACTGTTACATCAAAACCCATCATTTTATTTTTGAAGCTTGGATCTCCCCCCCCCCCCCCAACATACATCACATTACATTTGCTTATGTTGAGCCGCAATTAAAGGACAGGATCCATAGCTTGGGAGTACTCCTTGACCCGGAGCTGTCACTGGAAACCCAGGTGGCAGAGGTGGTGAGGAGTGCTTTCCTACAGCTTCGGCTGGTCCATCAGCTGCGTCCTTACCTGGACAAACACCGCCTAGCAATGGTGATTCATGCTCTGGTAACCTCCCAGTTACTGTAATGTGCTCTATGTGGGGCTGCCCTTGAAAACGGTCCGGATACTTCAGCTGGTACAGAATAGAGCAGCCAGGTTCCTAATGGGGACCGGTCATTATTGTCATTTAACGCCTGTCCTCTATCAGCTTCACTGGCTTCCAGTTGAAGTCTGGACCCAATTCAAGGTGCTGGTTTTGACCTATAAAGCCCTGAACGGCTTGGGATTGGGATACCTGAAGGAATGACTCCTTCCTTATATGCCCTCATGCCCCTGAAGATCAGTGGGAGAGGCCCTAGTCTGAGAACCCTCCCTGAAGGAGGTAAAAAGGGTATCTACTTGGAGGAGGGCCTTCTCTGCAGAGGCACTCAGATTATGGAATGCGCTTTTTGGAGAGGTGTGTCTGGCGCCAAGTTTATATTCTTTTCAGCACCAGGTTAAAACCTTTTTATTTAACTGTTATTTTAAAAACTAATTTAAATTTTTAATGTTTAACAGTCAGTTTTATTTAACTTATTTAATTGTATTTTTGTTTAATTGTTATTTATTGCTGTTTTATTGTGTTGTTTTTATGACTGTAAGCCATCCTGAGATGCCATGCATAAGGGACGGCATACAAAAGTTTTAATACTTTCGGATTGCCTCACAATGCTCCTTTTAACAACTCAACATTATTTTGTGTTGTCAGCACTTTGTTACTTCAGTGCTGACTCCTGATTCCAGATTTATAAATTGAAAGGCACTGGTCCCCATACAGATCCCAATGGGACTCCACTGTTAACACCCCCACTGCTGGGAAAAATACCACTTATTCTTACTTTTTATCTTTAACCAATTATTATTCTATAAGAGCACCCCCCCACCCCCACTACCACACATACCACTTCATTCCATGACTGCTAAGTGTGCTCAGCAGTCTTGGGTAAGGGACTCTGACAAAAGCCCCTTGGAAGCCCAAACAGCAATGTGTACATAATTGCCACTGGCCCCTTTGTATCAGTTCTCTCATTTTAGAGAAGTTTCTCCTTTTGAAGACAAATATGACTGTGTTGGATTTCTTTGGCAATTTTCCATCTGAATATGTATTAAAACTGCTAGCACTGTGGTTACTGTTTCCAACAGGTTCACCAAGATTTGCTTCTTCTAGTTGGTCCTGGGTGATACCACATAGGGTTAAATGCAGGGTTGCCTTCCCTCCAGATGGTTCCATGACTAGCTTTTCTTGGGCATTTAAGACTCTTTCTCATGACTGGAACAGAGATTTGTCCAGTCAATATGGAGGGAATTGATGTTATTAAAACATTTCCTCATTTGAAGGCCTTCTGACATCATTTGTACCTTCATGGTAGTTTTCAGAAGAAAGCAAAAGCAGTGACTAACACACATTAAGCAGTCCCGATAAAAGCTCATGTATTCTAGCTCCCATAAGCAGATATTGGAAGATGCTGTTACTTCTTGCCTTCAATCTCCCTGCAAGTTGGAGCCTGGCAGACTCCATCAACTTTTGATGCCCCTATTCTCCAGAAGTTAAGCATGCTATTTCAAGGCCTGTGGGTGCTTACACACATAGCAACCCCTTCCTCCAGCTTTGTCCCCATAAAATCTTTTGGCTGAAAGGTAGCAGCTGAAAGCTGATCTGAATTGCAATGCAGCAGAAGATGAAGACGATACTGGTGACAAGGGTCCTCATTCTGGATGGCTTTGCCAGTTGAGACAAAACCTGTAGATGTCAGGTTCCAGTGCCTGCCTGGATGCACTGGATGCTTCTGGACAGAGGCAATCAGGGTTGCTCTACCAAGCAGCAGCCAAGGAAGCTGCTCCCTCTTGTTTTAAAGCAGGAAATGGTGAACAGATGTTTACTGGTTTGGCCATGCAGGACCAAACTGCTCTTCCTCAAAGTTGGAAGAAGTTCAGTTGCTTATCATTGTGCTAGAGGGCAGCAGCACACTCATTGCGCTGCGCAAACATGATGGGAGTTTGTGCTGGCCATAGTCAGAGTTTCAGTGCATCTGGCCCTTCCAATGATAAATGGTTACGTCAGATTAGAAGCCAAAGGATGCTCCATAACCAGGCTTTTCTCATGAACAGTGTCAGTGATGCCAGGGGCATGTTCACCAACTACTTCTCCTATACTTGTTTCTGAGGAAAGGAAATTTTGCATGCTGATCATGCTTTGGTAATCTGCAAGGGTGAATATTGTATTGTGCTCTATGAGGGGCTGCTCTTGAAGCTGATTCTGAAGCTGAAACTAGCAAACAATGGCCCTGCCTGCTTGCTGGTAGATGTTGAAAGGCAGAATATACTTAAGCTATGCTGTGCAACATGTGCTGGTCAACACCAGGCTTCAGGGCTCTAGTTTTATATTTGAAGCCTTCCCTTCACTGCCTAGGATGCAGACCACAAAACCCCATTATCAACTTGGCTGTTATCTGGTTCTCTGAGGTTGAAGCTGTTTTTTGTATCCACACTATGCAGCCCAGGGACAACTGAGGCAAGGAGCAGGGCTTTTAATCCAATTGCTTTGAGCAAGTGGGGCATCCTTCCTGATGATGGTTGTCGCTCTTTGAAGATGATACGTAAGTGAATTCTTGTTGTTAATGCTACTATTAATGCTGAGTAGCTGTTATGTGTGGTTCTTTCTGCTACTTGGAAGAACCTGAAGATGCGAGTGGCAGATCCTATTCTCTCCTACGTGCCCTCCTGCCCCTTGAGATCTGAGTCAGAGGCCCTCTTCCAGGAGCCATCCTTGAAAGAGATCAGAAGGGTGACTACTGGATGAAGGGTCTTCTTTGTGGTGGTGCCCCGACTATGGAATACGCTCCCCAGAGAGGTTCACCTGGTGCCAATGCTTCTTTCCTTTCAGCATCAGGTGAAAACCTTTTCATTCTCCCAATAATTTAATTGCTGATTTTTTTTTAAATTGGTGGTTTTATACTTAACATTGAATGCTGTGCTACTCTTACTCTTACTTCTATTTTTATTCTGTTTTATTAATATGGTTGCAAACCATCCCGAGACGTCTGTGATGAGACGGTATAGAAAAGTTTTAAAAAACAAACAAACAAATAAATCCTGACATCTGTGAATCACACTCAATTTTTGGCATCTTTTATTTTTTAAAATTACTTTTAGGCCACCTCTGAAGGTAGAACCCTCTGCTCTTAAAGCCATCTCAAGAACAAATGATTGTTTAAAATGATTGCAGTCACTCTTGCTGTTAGTAAATTACTACCATGATCCACATGGGGATACAGTCCCACCCAAGTCATGCTCACACAGTGCAGAGTGAGAGGAGCTGTGGCGACGATCTTCACCTTCCCGCTCCTCTTGCTGTGCACTTTCACTTGATGGCTATTTAGTAAGGGGGAGGGTAAGAAGCTGGGAAGACTCTGGGATTCTTCCACCTTAGCCACTCCAATCTCCCCCTTTCCTCACCCCTTGAAACATCCCCTTCTGAGAGACACATTCCTATTCTCATTGAGGGGCAACACAGTTCTTTCCGCAACAACTATGTGCAGGCTTGTTGGGGGGGGGCGTGCTGGAGGTCTGATCCCCATCTCTCAGGTTGGAGTGCTGTCTCCACCCTTGTAGTAGGGAACACAAACTGTCTCACAGCACTTCAGATAAAGTTTAGGGGCCACAAGATTGAAAGTGTCAGGTTTACCATTGCTAATGAGAATGGGCTAGAGCAGGAAGAAGGAAATTCAGTTACAGAGCTGTGCCTCCCTACCGTTGCTGAGGACTGCGCAGTATAGGCGGCAGCATTCAGGTCTGGACTTCCTTTGTCCCCTGTGTAATGTGCAGCCGCTCCCAGGTCGATGGTTTTGGAAGGATTTGCCATGCGTTTGTGCCTTGTGGTGGTGGTCTCTGTGGCTTGTGTTATATGGATGTGTTTTGTGGTCACTGTCTCCTCTTCATCTTTGAATTCATCTTTGGGTGATTTACCTCTTCTTGATTTCTTTTCCTCATCACTATCACTGTGAAAATTAAAAACAAAAGGAACTATTGCAATGATCTAGACATAAAGAGGAACTGACGAGATTGAAAAGATGGCTGATCGGTGTAAAAATGATCTTGGGCACACCATCTTCTAAAAGAGAAGCCAGGATTCATTGACTGGGAACACAGAAGAGCACCCTGGGTTTGGACATCATGAACTGCTACTGCTTTCTGGTTTGTTTGGGTCAATGAGAGACCCAGTTGTTCACTCTGGCATTGAGTGAATGGGCTCTGTGAGCTAACATGATGCTTGTTCTCAGTAAGCCAAGAAAAACTAGAAATCCTGGCTTTCCATTATATGTACATAGAGCCATCATTTAATAACAAAAACACACTGTACACTCAAATGGGAATTAACTGTGGAGGGTCTCTATGTTTCAGTTATGCAACAGATCACTAAACCACCTAATTTAAGAAAGACTGTCTTGTTGCCAGCATGGAGGTAACAAAAACTACAGTCTACTCTGTGGGTAGCTTTTCTTTTCCACTATCAATGATACAGGCTTTGCCTATTATTATTATAACCACTCTGTTATGCCTCCCACTGCATCTCTGTATATTATGTACTTGCCAGCAAAGGTCGTTTAATTTATTAAGATCAGTGAACATAACTACCAGCATTTCGCTTTCTATTCCAACAGAGACTACAGATGCAAAGTAATAAGAGGGCTTAACAGCACCAACCAAGAGTTAAGGGAATAAATCCACAAAGCACTGCTGTGCAGCAATCTCCCTTTGTTTTAAGAGGGCTTATACAGAAACTCAAACCCTGCTGAAAAGATGCAGCAACCCATGTTAAGTGTACTGCTTCTACAGCAAGTAACATGCACTGTCAGATTCCCAGAAACTGATTCTCACGCTTCATATCCTTCCTGTAACTTCAGAAAGCATTTCCAAGGCAACTTACAAAGTAGAAGTAGAAATAATAATAGCCAACAAGCCAGCATACAGTATACCCAATAAAACAAAAATAGAACAGAGAAGAAAGTGAAGAACTACAGGCAGACTGAAACCCCCTAAAACGACCACTCATTAAAAGCTCAGGCAAATAACACAATCTTGGACAGAATGCCTGTTAATCTGGCACTGAAAAGGGTGAAATAATTAGGCTAACAAAACAGCGCGGAAGCTCCTGCAAGCTGTGGAAGGTTAATTTGATCAAGAATGCATGAATGGTCTGTCTGAATGAGGGTTTTGGGAAGAGCTACAAGAAGATCTCTAAAAGATCCAAGATGTATATGATCTAGATGACTCATATCTTGACTTGCGACTCTTATGAGAAAAGATCCTGAAATTGTGATTATGTTAATTAATGTTGTGGCATTTATAATACCTCGAAGATTTCAAAGGACTGGCTTTGAAAAAAGAGAAAAACAATGCACTGCCTTTTTCAACCAGCTTTTGCAAAGCAACATGGTCATGGTGAGATGGTGAGCTGTGTTTTTGAGCTGCTGACGTTGAGTGAAGGGACAGAAGAAGTGACACATGCTCAGATATGAACTAAGAGAAAAAAAAAACTCTTTATTAATCAGCTGTTAAGTTGTGCACCTGTGCTGATAATGGATGCTGAAAAAAAGTTCCTTATTCAGCTTTCTGGTTTAGGTAGCCATATAAGAATGGACAATGGGAAGAGGTGTTTAGTTGCATATCACAAAAAATGACTGAACTTTCAAGAAAGATACACTGACATGTTTCAATCAAAACAGCATGCCCACATTAGCAACATTTTAGGGAAATCATCCCAGAATTTTTGATTCCGACCACCTTTTAAACTTTCAAATTTTTTTCACTTTAGCTTCTACAATTAACTACATCAATGTCAAACTTACTTCTTCATAGGCTTAGAGGATCTTAATAATGCTTCAGTTTAGTATTATACATTTAAGTAGCATCCAGGAGGAAGCCAAGGGAAAATTGGAGGCTGCGCGTGTGCGGGGGGGTGGGCGAGGTGGCACATAGGGGCGGCAGCAGCTTGCTTGCTGGAGATCGGTAGGAAAAGTGGGGGGCGTCCTATACATGGGGGCGTCTTATAGACGGAAAAATATGGTACTTCCACAATAACAAATGGCAAGACAACATACCTGGGTTTCAGTAAGAAGGGGAAACATGAGCACACAAGGCTCCCAAAATCTAGCATTTCAGAAGGATTGTTCTGTTTTACCAAAGAAAGAGTTACAGCAAACAGTTACATAATTTAAAAGCAAAATGCAGGGAGACCTCTGACTGGGGCTGCTGGGAGTGGGAATCCAACAACTGGAGGACAACAGACTCTCTGCTTTGCATTAGAGTAACAGGAACTTTTAGAGACAGCCCAATTCCATAAACAGGAGATACAATCAGAAAATACTCAGTCTTGTTGGAACACAGATTTAACCAACTAATTTTGTTGAAGGAGAGTTTCTGCCTACACGAAGACACTATGCCATTTGTATATACACTGATTTTGAATGTTTTGACATGAATTTGGGTTTTTACTGAAACATTTACAATACTGGAATATAATAGATAAACATTTCCTTTATAAGAGTGTTCACAAGGTAGGGAATAAATTCTTGCGTAGTTGCAAAATCAAGGAAACCTTCCTGCCAAAGTTGGGTCAAACCTTAAATGAGGATTGGGCAGGAAGCAGGTTGTAATCAGGATACTGTGGGCTACTGGGCTACTGACTACTACTGAATTCTCATAATGGATGCAAAGAGTAGCTCTGCTCCCACAAAGGACTTCATACGATACATCAACGTTCCCTTGATGTGCTTGTGGTTTGGACAGGATCACACTGGCCTACCGTGCTGCAGACTCATCTGTCCCTTACCTTTTATATAGTGACTGGCATGCAGATCCTGAGGCATGAAGGGCCCCATCCACTGCTCAGCATGTTTTTATTTTGTGACACAATCCTCATCAAACCTATGACCTGGGGAACATTTTCATGGGGCTTATACTATATAGTCTCAGGGGAATTTCTGTGAATTGTCTGTTAAATGTATAAGAATAAACTTTGCACAAAAACATGGGTCATTGTCTAGCAGCTGCTGCTGAAAATATTCAAATCAACATTCAAATCAAGAACACACAAAACCAGAGCTGGAACATGCTGATCTTTCAGCACCCACTTCTGGGTGACTGCCTTTTTCTTTTCATGACCTCAGGAGGTACTCTCATAGAGGAAAGGCTGATCTGACTAAGCAGCTTTTCTGAAGCAGAATAAAGGTGCAGAAAGTGGCTAGTACCAGTCATGAACTGATCCAAGTGCAGCTGCTCCCTCTAGTGTGCCAGTTCGTCAAGGCCCAGGAGGATAGAATGTGGCTTGATGAAGAGAATTCATGCTTGCAGGGCACAGTAAAAGCACAAGCCACACTTACCCACTGAGTTCAGTAAAAAGGAGAGGTCTACTTCAATACCTGTGAGTTCTCTCTCTTGCACCCCCTCCCCCACATCTCCTGAAAATAAAATCTATCACATTTACAGAAAGAAGGAGTCAGTAATGGAGAACAGAAAAAAGTGCAAATGTACTTATCTGCTATCATCTTCCCTGGAACACAGCAAGATGACAATTCAAGCACCAATACTATCCAAGCTCCAAAACTACCTTCAATTGCTATTTGAATTTGTACATTCCCATTCTGATATTTAAAGGGCCCTTGTTTTCTTTGATTATAGAGTTTAAGAACAGTTCTACATTCTTTTTAGCCTATTTTTAGAAACAATTTCTGTTCTAGAAAACATTCAAATGCACCAATAAGAAACAACTCTGGAACCACACAGTTAATGTTTCCAAAACTCAGTTAAGAACCATCAGGAGGAAGAGATGGGAAACCATTGTCTTTCCTTCAGTTTTTAGAAAGTAAAAGTTAAGAATCTATCAGGGAGAATATATTCCTCAAATTTCCATGTAAAAAGGCCCTAAATCTTATATTTTGTTCTCAATGAATAAACATTTATGGAAATATGAATTAAGGTCCATTAGCTAGTGTATATTAAATGTCCAGATATCATACCAATTTCAGGCAAGGTTTAAAACTAGCTGGAGTTTTATATTGTTGATTTAGTATGACTTGATCTATCTAGTTTAACATTTAAATTCTCCTCTCAAAATCAATTCATCTGTCCAACACCAAAAAAAGGGAAAAAGTAAATGGAAAAGAATACAACTTTTAGCACCTTAATGATTTTTTTATTCTTTCAAAATTCCATTGTGAAAGACATTAAATATAAGAGAGCTCCTACCATTTTAATCTCATCCAGCTGAAATTTATGTGTAATCTTCTATAGCTATATAAAGACTATTAAGTATCAGTTTGATTTGCTGATAATAAAATTCAAACTACTTGTTGAAATGGAACACTTTTGGAGTTTGCTTAGTATATAAAATCTACACAATATTTTCCCTCTGATGCAGAGTTAATTTAATGATCCTGTGAACAAAAGATCCACTGTACATTAAGATGGGGTTAGCTGAAAAGTCTGTACCATTACATTAAACTAAAGGAAAAGGTAGTCAAATGTTATGCTCTTCAACTTCTAAGTTTTGCATGCAATCAAAACATTATCTTATCTTCCTCTACCTACCATTTAAAGATTAAAACAAACAGCTAATTTTTAAATTAGCTTCTATCATTATTGAAGCGGAATGATACAGTTATTGCCTCTGAAGCTAATAAAAGCATTGTCCTTTTTGGAGTTAGAACTTACATTTTTGATCCAGAAAGCTACATCAGAAGTATTTGTCATTTTCTGAAAGTGGCATTTTGAAATAAAATAGGACACACTCAGGCGCTTAATAAAGTACCTCATTCAAGGCCACAAGTTGCCAGGCTATGCAGGGAGGACAATTAGAAATGCTGTGGTCCACAAATAATACCATGGATTAGGGCTGTCCCATGGGATTTGTTATCTACCTATCAGGTTATTCTATGAAGCGCAGTCTGCTTAACTTTAGTAGACAGCTAGCAAGGAAGCAGATGGCTATACTTTCAATATTGAGGTAGTTTTATTATATGAACGTGCAAAAATGAGGCAGAAGTCCTACTGAAGCCAACCATGGCCTGTTTTTGTAATGAATCACATCTCCTGGGCTACTTTCAAATTATTAACAGATGGGATTACTGAGGGGGATGAGAAATTCACAACAAACCTAAGTGAGGGGCAGCTTTCTATTACTTATAGTACACTTTTTTTCTTAATATGCCACTGCCCATTGCAAAACAAACACTTTTCAATAAATGACCTAGCGGAGGGAAATTTAGAATTCTGTGTTACAAAACCAAACAACTAAAATTTTCCCAGACATTTACATCAAGGGACTGAAACATTATTCTTGTTTCTTAAAATATATCTTAGTTCTTTAGGACAAAGGGGTTGGATACAGTGATCCTGTAAGCAGAATTTTAAATGTAATGTTGGATTTAATATGACTCTTCCACAGTCCGAAGGACATCATCTGGGAGACTTCTGATCCAGAATGGGAATCATACTGATAAAAGAGGGGGGAGGTGATCTTCATTTACTCCCTGCTCCTGCCACAGCCCCCTAAACCCTCTGAAAATCTACTCCAGGAAGTTGTAGGGCCATCAAGACGACCATGGAATGTGAAGAATCGGGAGGAAAAAAGACTCTACTCCCTTCCATCAGCATGGGTTTTACATGGGATTGAAAGCTCTTAGACAAATTTATTTATTTATTTATTTAAGCATTTTTATCCCCACCCCCCATTGCAGAAAGCCTCGGGGCGGCTTACAAAGCAGACTAAGCAAACATAGAACAAACATTAAGAATCCGAAGCATCTTGGCAATAGTATAAAACCAGTAAATAAAAACAATAATTAACAATTAAAATATCGTTTAAATAAAAAGGTCTTGGCCTGGAGCCGAAAAACAAATTAAAGCCCTTCCACTTGTAGAAGGGCAACCCTCTTTCCAACCACAAATGTTTACATTTCCATTTTTAAAAGACATCTGAAAGGATCTAAAAGGGATCTTATAGGGGTCCTATAAAATACAGGGTGTGCATAGTTTAAGTTTATAGAGCAGAACTGAATGGGGCCTTGAAGAAACTCCAGCACTGTGCTGAATCAAGAGATAACACCCTGTCATTCTTTTTCCAAGCAGGTTATTTACTGAAATATGCCTATTTTTGAGATTTTCTTCCATGAAAACAACCAGTTTAAAGACAGAAACAAACATTTTCAGGTTTGTACAGATTCATTCCACAATTAAAGCCACACAGTTTCTTAAAAACCCAACCTATAATCTAATTAGGACCAGGTGCTAGATCAGAAATTTGAAGCTCAACTTGAGAACCTGTTAAAAACTTTAAAAGGACAGCTGACAAGCAACTGAATTGCAGTCAAAGTACCTGCATCGTTCTGGAGAATCCTCTCTGTCTTTCCTCCGAAATTTGCTGATGGTGTCATCAATTGTGCTCCCAATTTTATCACTCAGCTCACCTAGTTTATCACTAAATGGAAATCCACCTTTGTTTTTATCCCATTCTTCATCCCACTTTGACTTGGGCTCAACATCGTATCTTTCACCTACATAATAGAGGCAGATAGTAAAAAGAAGGAAGAAAAAAAGAGATCATTTCAAAAATGCCACTGATTCTTGTTAAGAACTTAGTTCCTTTTGCTGACAATTACCTTGAGAGTTTTCAAAGCAAACAGAAAACTTTCATGTTGTCGAAGCAATATTATTAATGGCAGAAAAGGCCAATAATCAGCACAAAATGCATTCAGGAACTGTTGCTTATGACAACTACCCAAAAGTAGCATAGTAGCACACATTCTGATAAGGTGAGATAATGCAGGAGCAGGTCAAAGAGTCGTATACCCAACAAAATGAACCATGGCAACAGGCTGATTTGCATGTAACAACAGCTCACAGGTTAGACAAGCTGTGCGCACATAGGAGAATTGACATGCTGCCTGCAGTATGCTGGCCGCTACTGCTCTTGGTCAACAACCTAGAATTGGCCGATTCATAAGCTGTGGAGTGTGAGCTGCAAACCCAGACTGATGGGTCCTTTAATCCATAAACCAACTCAGAGTTTGAGGCTTGCACGTCCCACTCAATAACCTATGAAGGCGCTGATAATAAGCTGCTGAGTAAAAGCATAAATGGGGAGCACACTCTATGCAGTGTGCTCTCTCTCCAACTTTTCCCTGATAGCCCATGGATTGTTTAAACTATGGGCTGTGGTATGTGAACCAAGTCTACATGAACTTATGAAAAATGAAGCCCATTATTTTATACAAATTCTGTTATGCTCTCAGTTTGGCTGCCACAGGAAACTGGATTTTTTTCATGTTTTAAAACCTCATGAATTTTATGGGGGGGGGAGAGGGGAGTGTACCAAATATTGCAAGATGGATGAAAACAAATGGCAATATTTCTAGCCTCAATTATCAATTTTAAAAGCTCTTCAAAAACCATTAAGGAATGTGCTACTTAGGAGTCTGTAATTTCTCAATCTGCTATATTGCCACAAAATAGCCACATAAACAAGATTTGCTTCACAACGTAAAGAACCAAGAACTCCAATTGTTGGATAACTGTGAGTAGAAGGTGCCAGTTTTGCTCAATTGTCTTTGAATAATGTATTTAATTGCTTAGCTCTGAATCCCATTCAGTAATTTAATCATCAATGTACCTTGCTTTTTTAAAAAAAGAAATCACAATAGCTAATACATGGAAGATTTAAAACTGACTCAATACAATGCCCACCAGAATTCCTAGAATGTATAAATAATATTGCAGTTTTGCTTGCCAAAGTCCTGAGGGAATATCCCTGGCCCAATACAGATTAGACATTAACATCTTTCACTTCCTGTGCCTAAAACTCCTATTAGGTGAGGCAGAGTAATTCACAATTATGCAGCACATGGTGACCCAAAGACATAAGAGCACTTTTGCTATAACTTGTGTGATTTACATAGTGAGTCCATCAGGACACCCCACATAATTAATGAATCATATACAAATAGCACTGCAGTGTATTCTGACAAGGAACCCACAATCCTGCTGGCTCTGTACCTGAGGCAGCTCAGGTGCACAAAGCATCTACAAGCTGTATGGCAGTTTTCTTTACTCGAATGAATAAGGCACTTCCCCCATCCATGCTGCAAGAGCTCTGTGTATGCATCCGAGCCTTACAGAGCACCAGATTGTGGTGAAGTCCTGTACAGCCCAAAATATGCACCATCATACCTCCTTAGAGTAGCAGACTTGAAGAACAGAGCCGCTCTGTTCAGTTCAGCAAGCACATACCCACCACTTCTGCTCCGCAAGCACACAGCTGTAAAGCAATGGCGAAGCCCCATCCACCTGCTAATCTTCTATTTTAAAATAGGTTTTATTTTGGAAGATTTAGTGAAGTTCACTGGATATGGCAAGTGGCCAGACTGGAAGAGAGTTATGGGAGTTGTACAGTGCCTCTAGAGGGTGCCAGGTTGAACAAGACTACTATCATGTTAGCCGGTAATTATCTGCAGCTTGAGATCATTAACCATCCCCACCCCCAGCCCCACAATGCTGAATAGCTTTGCCTTGCCTTTACACATGCTCTAATCCGCCCTAGGAAACAGTGGGGTGGCATGCACGTAAAATAAAAGTCACTTCAGAGTTGCTTCTCCGTGGTGCCACCCCATTTGTTGTAAAGCATAGGCCAGCATGGCTTGCTGGATTGGGGACCTGGGAGATCCAGGTTGTAGCCCCACTCAGCCATGGAACTCCTGGGTGACTTTGGGCTAGTCACTCACTCTCAGCCCATCCCATCTCACAGGGTTGTTGTTGTGAAGATAAACTGGAGTGGAGAAGGGCGATGAGAGCTCCCTTACACTCCTTGCAAAAGGAAAAAGGCAGGATATAAATGCTTTAGGAGGAGCTGAAAAGAAAACGGAAAATGATGACTTAGCATCTTCATAGCCACAAACAGGAAAGTTACGCAAGGCCAACCTTGCTTATATGGTTCCGATATTAAGAGGCACATTACAGCACACAGGACAGCCTCGTGCAGAACAAGCCCCTGACTGAATCCCAATAATGCTAGCCGCCTTTAAGAGTTCAAAACCAACCAACTAGGCTGAAATAAGCCACACTGCCAGAGAATCCAAGAACTAGGCAGCTTGTCCTTCTCAGACCTGACGAAAAGATTTTGAAGAGAGACTCAATGGAACCTCTCTCACTGTATACTCAACGCCACCTTTGTGCCACAGGCTAAGGCTGCAGTGCTGTACTCACTTGCCAGGGAGTCCCACTGAACTCAGTGAATCTTGCTTCTGAGTAGACATTTGTAGGATTGTACTGCTAGATGATCATTTGGTTACACCAAGATCTACAACATTCAAATTACAGAACTTGTGCATATATTTTTAAAAACGGTTTTTAAACTCATGGGGCCAAGTAAGTATCACACTATGCCAACTGCCCTCCCCACCTTCAGAGTACTGGACTTACTGTATCTGAATCCACCAACACTGTCTGAAGAAACTCCAATATATTTATCTTTGTTTTTCTTTGCCTTTTTCCTCTCTTCACGAAGCCTGTCATCATCCTGTGCAAATTCTACCATTTCTTTCACTTTCTGGCGTATATTTATACCTTGGTCTTTGCCATTCTCATCTGGTATAAAATAAAAACACAAAAATGAATGTATTAGGTAGCAACAATTAAGCTCAAGCATTAGATGGCTTGGAAAAATTTTGATATAACATGAACACCATTTTTCCATACGAATATGATATTCTAAGCACTTCCCTATAATGAGTGAACACTACAATTTTTATGACCTCAGATCTAATCTAATGCTAAGGGAGAGCATTTGAGAGCAATTTCAGTTTATAAAGCTTCCTAAGTGGAACTGATCTACTAAGGGTAGTGTAAAGCGAGACTTAAAACATGATGCTTGCTTCTCAATAAATAAATAAAAGCAACCTTCTCTCTTAGTTGCTTTTGGTGTGGGAGGGAGACAGTTTATTGTTGTTGTTGTTGTTGTTGTTGTTGTTATTATTATTATTATTATTATTATTATTATTATTTTAACTACTAGATTTGTGTCTTGGTTCAAAACTGTATTTTTAAAATGCTGACAGCTGGAGTGCACTACAAACTAAAATTTGCTTCTCTTTTCTAAGCCTCTTATTCACAACACACACTGGCCTTGCTGCCTTTCCACTGTAAATATTATTTGGTAGGAGGAAAAAAAATCCTCAGCTTCAAACAGATGTGTATGTTTTGGAGCTCTAACCTTTTCTTCCCATATGATTAAAGCTATTCCTTTACACACACCACAGGGGACCAGTCTCTAGTGCATATTTTAATATAAACCCGAACACTCATGTTGTGTTGGTTCTGTTGTTATTAGCCAGTCTTTTCTGCAAGTTCTTGTCTTCACTAATTAATACTCTAGGGTCCCACGTCTTGGATTCTGCACTCTTCACACAACCAGCAACAGTCACATTCTAATTAGAGTGGGGAAGCTTCTGAGCTGGTTCAGGTGACTGACAACTCCAACTACTGTTTTAATTTGCTTATAAGATTTTTCTATCGCTCACCTACAAAGTGGTAATTTTCCAGGGATCGCAAATCATAAATGTGTTCTCTGGCACTTGTAACAACACGCTCTGATCCATTCCTTATGAGGTAAGATAGGAGCAGCAGAGACTATAAAAATACAAAGCACCTTATGATTGCATGAACAAACGCCATCAGTATTTTTAACTGCAATAAAAAGCCTAAATGTACAAAATTAGTAAGCAAAAGCAAGATTTGTTCCTATTTAAATAAACTTTCTATATGCATGCTGCTGCTAAAAGCAAGAATTGCTGACAAGACAGTGTACAAGTTTTAAACTGCATTTACTAAGACAAAAAAAAACCTAGAACATAAAAATTGTAAGTCATTTGCGTGAAGAATGACTGTTCTCTAGAAAGAAAGAAAAAACAGTTAAAGCAATTTAAGGGAAAAAAAAGATCCTGAACTCAACAGAATGAAACAATTTTCTTTTGTGTCTCTCTTTTTTTGCAATTGCCTTATTCCCCAGTGTTTTTCCATTTAAAAGCCGTTTTTATGGCAATTTATCTATGTGGCTTTCTGCACGAAATGTGTTGATGTTCAAGGCTCAGTATTTTCAGGTAAATTTAAGCAAACTTCAAAACAAAAATAAGCTGAAAAATATTTTAATTTTGTGAACTTCCTACAACTTCTAGGATTTTCCCCCTTCATGTTTTAAAAAGTGAATTTGAAGAAGTTGCAGTGATGTCAGCAGAATCATGTTTATAAATTGCAATGAAAACTCACAGATAATTTCAAGTATTCTTAAGAACATTAAGTAATATGTATGACAGTATTAAAAATTAATTTACATCATGCTTCAGGGAAAACAATTACTATAAGAGTACTTTTTTTAAGAGTAACCTTGCCTTTCAATTAATTCTGTTGACTGTACAAGATTTTAAATCTAAAAGGCTTGTTCAGTGCCATAAGGAAACAGAAAAAATCATTATGGTGAAGTTTATGCTGAATTTCAATGAAAGTACACTAAAACAAACACAAAATATTTTGCAATGAGCATATTAACTAAAGGAAGGAGGAGGGGGCGGGAGGAGGCAAACAACGGGCTATCTCTCCGGTTAGATACAAGTTCAAGTATGATTCAGAAAATGGAGCATTTTGGAGGAGGCCAGTACAATGTGTGAAAACAGAGGTAAATATATCATTCAATCCCAAGTGGACTCAAACTGGTTTATTTTTAAAGGGAACATTTGGAACAAAGACTAAAAAACATGGCTCTCATTAAAAGGCCAGCAAGAGAGTTATTTGCTTATTTGTTTTAAAAGATCAAATTACAGATTCCCTTTTTGGTATATAATGCAGTAATAAAAATTCAAATGGCTAGAGCACTTTCAGAAGGAGGGAAAGAGAGAGTGGGGGACAGAGAGGGAAGGAAGGAGGCAGAGAGAGGGAGAGAAACAGAAAATGAGTTTTTTTTTCCCAGCACTGACTTTCCCTTAGAAAACATTTATGGAAAAAATCAGCTTGATTAAAATCAAGCTCAGAAGAATTACACACAGAGGATCTGGAAGCCTGTAAAGTTTAGCATAGATACTATGTTAATGAAAGCACAAAACTGAGTTAATTATGATAGGACACTATGGTAAAATTAAAACATTCAGTTGTGTTTGTTCTTCAATATATGCAGTTTAGAACAAAATTAAATCCTGGGAAAGATGGCGAAAAGTCATTTATATACATACCTTATACACTCTCCTCCAGTTTTTTTTGTTGTCTTTTAGCATTCGTGTCCAAAGCATGTTCATAAGTTCTGGAAACTGTTCATACATAAATGTTGCCCTAAAAACAAAAGAGGAAGAATTATCCTTATGGTGCTGCTTGCAGTGAAAACCTGCAAGGACCTGCATTTGACAGCAGATGGCACACTTGCTCCAAATTAAAGCTTCATTGCCAAATACAGAGCTTTTGACATTTGTACAGAAGCATTTCATAAATAAAATTACTCACTAGATTAGCAATGCTGATAAGTCATTCCCCTCTCAATGGAAATAGTGAAAAAAACCTAAGAGTTCCTTGTTATTGTTGTCCATCATACCAATCATTTGCTCTCTGTGTGAGAAAACATTATGTTTATGAAGAAGCCCCATTTTATATTTCTGAAAAATACTTTGCAGGGCCCCGGCCCAAAGGAAATTTTCTATGCTCCAAATTATAATGCACCATGAAAATAGTTTTTAATAAATAGTTGCTTGTGGCCATCCTTCAGAGCTGTGCACCATTAATACTACTCTTTCTTCATTTCATTTATGTATATTCTTCAGAAGTGATGAAGCAAGGACCATATATATATATTGCATAAAGATATACCTTTCTTCACTGCTGAGTCAAATTATCACTTACTTTGCAATCTCCCCCATGAGTTGCCCTGAAGGTCCCCATGGATCATCGTTGGTTGCTTCTCGAACCTTAGACTCAATTTCTGAATAATTCATAACCACATTGGTGCTGCAAAGAACAGAATTGAATGCATGCCCAGAGATTAGCATCAAAACTGAGAAACACATGAAAACTTAATAATGACACTAGTGGGTGCCTTAATGAGATACCTCTACAGGGTGGAAAAGAAAACATCTTTAGTGGAGAAGCTACCCCGAGGACACGGCAACACATTTAACTATCTTTAAGAAGGTTTTACTATTCCATTAACCTTCCACAACACAGATCAGAGATTAGGGATTACATTAAACAAGGAACCAGTACAGTTAGAAATGGCATTTGGTCAAATTAAAAGTGAAACTGAGCTACTGAAGATGCTAGTATCTTAGCTATAGTTACTCACCCTGCCCTCCATTGGAATCTACCATGAATGTAGAAATTAATCAGATAACAGATGTATATTTTTTAAAACTACCCCATTATGAAAACTAAACTGTGTGCCTCACTGCAGAGATGCCAAAAAATTGGCAGAAACTGGAGAAGAGTTGCTAAGTATTTCAATAGCTTCTTAAGCTAAACAAAGTGGGACAATGTGATAAGCCCAAAAAACCCTCCCACCTTCAGATAAAAATACTATCAAGGATAATCTATATATTGAAGTGTTGCCTGTAAAGGATTTCTTTAGAAATAAAAGAAAAAGCTTTAGTATCAAACAAAGTACTTTATGGTTCATACAAAGCCCTTATTTTTTCTTACTCATATTTTTGCATAAATCCTTTTGGATAAGATTTGGCTAATTCATATGTCTTTAAAAATGCTAAATCCACTTGGGAAAACAGATTCATCTCCATAGTATATAATGGCTGTATAACTTGACATTTGGATATAAGAAAAAATTGCCATGTGAAAATTTCAAAATGGAGGTCACTTTGGAGCTCCATTTTGAAGTCAGAGGAAAATCGGTGCATCTATTTTCTACACTAAGGAATGTGAGATTGGTAAAAAACTGAGATATCCTTCCTGATAGTCATGCTATTGGGAAAGTGACAATGTTTTCTATTTAAAGTACTATATACTTTTCTTAGTTGTCTTTTTAAGTTGTGTTTGTATAATGTGCCCTTCATATGTGTGTGTGTCATGGACAAGGAGAAAGTGACTATATTACACATGTAGCCCTACAACATCCAGCATGTCTCCAGCCAGTCACACATTGGATTGTGCCTTCAGTTGTTTCATGGCATGAAAAAGAAATATTAAAGATGGCTGTTTCCTGGCTTGTCCCATTAGAGGCAAAACTTTCTACTTGCTACTTTTCAAATAAAGTCACTAGGCATTTACTCCAACTTGGATACCACAATTAATGTAGAATTCACATTTATGCTGTCCTTGCCATATTTTATTTGGATCACTTCCATCTCATTTTTCTGAAGGTATTTCGAGAAATGCACATGATCACCTTTGGTATCCTTTTGGCGTTTGCCTATCTTGTTGAAGACACAGCCATCTTTTGTAAGGTCTGGTAAACCCTTGCTTTCAGGAAAGTTAAGCATCCATTAGTGTGGAATGAAGAAATTACTAGATGCATTTATGAAACTTCTCTAATTCTAATACGCGTGTAATTAAACCAAATAGTTCTTACAATATATCTAAAATTGCTTGGTAATTGCTGGCCAGTTCCCAAGATTTCTAGTCTTCCATGATTTCTAGGAAGACTGTGGCTGACTTCTAACATAACTAGGTTTACTTCAATTGAGCTTCAGGCTAAGTTTTTGGTCACTGAGCACCTTAGAACAGATATCCCATTGGTACTTCTGCATGTCTTCAGACTATTGAACACCATTGCTCAATTTCTGTTTAACTGTGTTTGGTATCTGGTAGGAGTAATGTAAATTGCCTCATAATGGTTGTGTTCTTAAGGGTATTTTGCAATGACAAAATTTTACAGCAGGCTCCACTTAATCCAGATGCATTTACAGCTATTTTGGATGAAGGAACACTCTGCCCTGAATGGGCAGGCTCCTGGAACCATTCCTAACCCAGGTGCAACCCTAGAAACAGAATCCAAACAGGGCAGAAGGTTGATTGTTAGGGGAATCCAGGGGCTCTGGGAAGGAAGGGGGGAGTTGTTAAAGCTATTTGTGTGTGCTGGCTGGTAGTATTCCTGCTTCCACCCTCAAGAACCTTGCGAACAAACTGGTGATTGCTGTGGCTGGTGGTGAGTTTTAATCAGCTATTTATATTTATTTCAATCATGGCACCATCAGAGGTGCATTTAGTGGCAATATAGGAGGGCCTTTTCGGTGGCTACTCCTAGGCTGTGGAACTCCTTCCTAAGGAGTCTCTCTGCTATCCTTTCTGTATGGACTAAGACTGTTTAGTTCAATAAAGCCTTTGGCCCCAAGTGGGTTTACAGGTTAGGTGCCACTTTCATTCTGCAATAGTTACTCGTTATTGTAGTTTAATGTTTTATTATTTGAGTCTATTTAAAATTGTTTTTGTAAGCCACCTTGAGTGACATATTTTGGTAAAAAGGCAGGGTAAAAACAAAATAAATGTCTCAACCAGAATAATTAACTTACTACATGCACCTTTGCCTTTATACCTACAGGTCATCTATATACAGGACATGCCTTGAAAAATTTCAAAGCCTTCATCTGATGCAGACTGCCACCCACTTCCTGGCAGTTGCAGGAAGACAGAATTATAGTCACTTTAGCTTATTAACTTCTAAGCCTGCATCAAGGCCCTTGTTTTGATCTATGGAGGCCTTTGCAACCTTAGCCCTATGTTACTAAACTGAGTCTTCCACTTTGTGAATTCCCCACCTATTCCTCTGGTAAGACTGGGACCAACGTCCCTACTGTGCAGGAGATTAGAACAGTTGCTAGACAGAAAAGATGACTCATTTAAATAATGGTCTCAAGTTTGAGGTGCATGTTTCACAGTGAAATTTGCCTTTACCCCATAAAGGAGAAGAAAGAATGTAAGATGTGATTTTCAACAGTTTGGGCTTATTTTAAGAGCAATTTATTGATGTTCATGATGAACTTTGCTAGCACTTTATTATACAGTTTAATTTATTGTAATTTTACTATCCTTTGTCAAAACTCAAGGGTAGAGATAAGTAGTAACTAACCCTAACACACTCCCCCCCCCCAAAAAAAACCCTTTCTAGCCAGAAATTTTTGAAGCCAGATGGTGAAATATCTATTATGTGCCTAAAGGACATGTAACCTGTGCATCTGATTTAAATAAGTCAACAAATGAAAATTATTCTGTGCATTAGAATATGTGTCAAAACAAAGCAGAACCACACAGCAGCAATTAGAACTCTATTTATCCACCATTAAATATAATTTCATCAAAATATCTTGCTCAAGCCTAGGATTTTGCAATCTCCTTTTACTATAGGCACATGTTAACCTCATGCCATTTTTGATTCTTATTCATATGGAACTGGTTTTCGAGACAGGCTTCAGAAGTTTTGTAGCTTTCAGCACACTAGTTTCCTTGTCTAATGTAAGGAATACCTGTGGATCAAATGGGAAAGGTTCTGTTTTTACAACCTTTCCCCAAGCTCTTGTTTGAAGGGCTGGAGGAAAGAGTCTAAGATGAAGTGTTTCCTACATTTCTTCAAGTTAAATGCTTAAGATTTCAAGTCATGCAGGAAAGAAAAGCCACAAGCATCCATTAACACACACAAACATATCAGTTCAGTTAGCTGTGATTAAACATTTAGCAGTAAAGCTAAGGGAAAAGATCGAGGAAAGAGAAAACACAACACACAGCCCCAAACAGCAAGTTACAATCAGCACTAAGCACACTCAATTTCTGGATCTATACTGCTATAAAAATATTGTTCTGAGCAAACAGGAGAAAGTACTCATAAATCCCAAGAAGAGATCTAACATTCCAGAACAAAAATCTTTCAGCCACATTTCATTCAGCAACAAATGTAAATGGACGAGGGGGGAGAGAAAGCGGGTTGTATAGTTTGGCTATGTTCCAGGCCATTTAAAAATAACTATTTCTAAAAAGGTGGAAATCTAGTTTTATTCTTCCTTTCCCATGTTTTCTATGGCCCTCAATCCATGCCCTACCCATGATGCCTGTGACCTTTAAAGCAGATTTTTTTTTAAACTTCCAGATGTGAGGGGAAAAAATGACTGGTTTGATTGCCAAGACTTCCTGTGATTGATATAAATTTGATATCTGAGGACACTTTCAGACACCAGGGGGGGCTCTCTGGTTAGTTTATCCTGGGCTTCTTCCAAGGAATCCTGTTCAACAGAATTCTTTGCAAACGAAAATGGGCTACATAATCACCAGATTGACAAATGCACTCTGAACACTTTACGCTTAAAGCCTGTTATAATCCAAGACATTGTCTGGCAGGGATTAGCCTGTTGTTTTAAAAGCTGAAGCATTATAATCTTTTTTTAAGTATTTAGAAATGTCTACATGAATATAACTAGACAAAACTCACTTCAAACATTATTGTTTCCACAAAAAGTAATGCTAAACAAGTAAAATTACCATTGTACTAAGAGAAAGTTGATATTTAAGCTATGTGAAGTTTTAGTATTTATGTTTAGCGACTTTTGTGAAAGCCAACGTGAAGCAGGTCCCTAATACCCAAACAGTTAGTCAATTACAATGCAAATGTGATCATCTGCGTGGTTTTAGGTGATATATGAATTAGCTGTCAAAGCACCAAGAAATTTGTGCAAAGTGCACAGATAGACTTCCTTGTAAGCAAAGAATGTGAAAGGCTATTTACTCTCAGAATTTGTCTTGCTTTATCACTGAATGCTTATTAAGTAGAGTAACTAGCTTAATTCACAAAGCAGAATTTAATCTTCTGTTAATAGCCTTTTATACTTATAAACATCATTACTTAAATGGTTGGTTCTTTCCAGCTGAGATGAATATGTAATATTCAAAGGCTCCCCCCTTTTTAAAGGAAGGATTTGCTACCTTTTCCATGTAACAGGCATGTAATTCTATGAGAGACTGTTTAAGAGTGGGGACACACCCCAAAGTTTCGAAAGTGTTCATATATTAACGCCACAAAATAGTTACAAAATCTTCTTTAACTGTGTTTTTTAAAAAATGCTTAACTTGAACAATAGGAAAAAAATCCTAACTATTACAAGATTCCCAGGAACTAGACAAAGTTTGGAATAAGAAGAGCTCACACACATTTTTGTCCACCAATTCTTACTCCAAAGGGAAGGACAGGCTTGGAAACAGATTTCCTGCACATCTAGTTCTGCTTCTAATGCCTCAGAGTTGGCCCTCCCTAGTATACAATTAAACTGTGCAACTTGTACAAAACTGGCAACTTTCTTTTCAACTGGCATATGCTACTGCCAAAAAAATAGCCCAGAAAGAACTCTGAGTCATCCTCAACTTTTTCTAACAGTGAAACAGTGGAGTGACACCTGTATCCAGTTTGGTTATAGAAAGGCTCTTTCTGATAGCTGAAGAATCTGAGATCAAGAGGAGGGTTCCATTGGAGGCAATGGTGTGAGAGGCAATTTTAGCTGATTCCCTTTTCAGACTCCCATGCCATTTCTCACAGTGTGTCAGAAGGTTTGTCTACCCTCTAAAGCAGCTTTTCAGGAGATATGGGGCTGCTGGTGGAGAAAGGAAGACTTGTCAAATATTTTCTCTCTCCCTTTCCTCCAAAGGGGGCATCCTGTGAGTAAATTTCCACTCACAGGAAGTCTAGCTACAAACCAATGGCTTTAACCAAGGGAGAGAAAGAGAATAGGAAAATCAGTATTACAGAGGTGATAGATGTGCATTTTAATATATATTCTCATGGAGATTAACTGGAATATATTTTATTCAGTCTTTAAAGACATTCAGTGTTGGGATTACCGAGAACATTCAGAAATGGCAAACAGAAAGAGAACTGGCCAAGGTGACTAGGTCCCAATTTGGAGCGTATTTGCTATTAAAAGTTCTTGGACAGTATACACATTACACACATTTTCTACACTTTTGCTTGGATATCCTAGCCTTGTTGTACAGCACAGAGTAGACCCATCTTCAAGAATGTTGATGCAATAATGGCAGCCTTATGACTTTGGGGCAGGAATTATTGCTATCACAAAACAAGTTCTTAAAGGCTACAGAATGGGTCAAGCTTGTGATGTGTCAGAAGTAGAGATTGTCAGAGAAATATTCAATGGACTCAAATGAGTATAATTTTCTAAGAATCCATCCAATGGATTTCACAACAGGCTGGTTTTTCCTGTGTTGCATGGCTTATAGGTAAAGGTAAAGGTTTCCCCTTGACGTTACATCCAGTCATGCCTGCCTCTAGGGGGCGGTGCTCATCTCCGTTTCCTAGCTGAGGGAGCCAGCGTTTGTCCGCAGACAGTCTCCGTGGTCATGTGGCCGGCATGACTAAACACCGAAGTCCACGGAATGCTGTTACCTGCCCACCGAAGTGGTACCTTTTCATCTACTTGCATTTGCATGCTTTTGAACTGCAAGGTTGGCAGGAGCTGGGATGGAGCAACGGGAACTCACCCAGTTGTGCACATTCGAACCAGCGACCTTTCGATCAACCAGCCCAGCAGCACAGCGGTTTAAACCACTATGCCACCTGCTTATATAAACCTGTAAATCATTTTTTAAAATCCTGCAATTGTACACACACTTAGCTATAGAAAAAATATAAAAGGTTTAAAAGGGGACCCCCAAATGCATATTTCTCCCATAGGCTGAAGTGTGCAACTGTGCATTGGGAGGGGGATTCTGCATTTTTGGGAGTGCCATTGTGTCCAATGCATACAAACTCATTTGCACAAAATCCCATTCAGTCAATAAGCAGAAGATGGCACGAAAGGTGCGTGACAATCAGGCACAATGTAGATGTATTAAAACCAACACTGAAGTTGAATGTATCCTATGGCAGAAAACAATCTCATAAGCACAAGGAAAAAAATAGCGTCTAGAGAAAAAGTGGGTGTAACAATCAGCCGCCCCTGAGTTCCCATCTCCCAGTGGCTGGCAGGGCTCATCTTCCCACCCTGCTTCTCTGAACCCCAAAATCCAAGGGGGTCAGACACTGGATTCAGCACACGACAATCCAAGCTTGGGGGAAACAGATTTATTAAAAGGATATTAAACGATATAAAGGTGGAGGGTCTTAAAGTACTACAACACACACTGCAAAGAGGGTAGAAAAGAAACGGAATTGGAGCAACACTTTAATTGGACTCATTCTATTAGCTCCCCCCAAGACCCTCAGGATGGTTGGCCTCCTTGGACTGAAAATAACAAAGCTGGCTGTTCTTAGCACTAATACAATATACAATAGCCAACCCAGCCTTCTTCCAGGTAGAATAGAGCAGTATTTCTCAACAGAGCCTCCAGCAACAACAGGAAACCTCCCTGTAAAGAGGAACCCCAATCTCCCTCAGCTCCCTGCTTTTATCCAGTTAGATCAAACAGATGACTCATGGGGTGACTTCTCCTCACAATACTCAGGTGAGAATCTTATATCCTTCAGGCTTACAATCTTGGCCTTGAGGGGATGTGCATGGCGTCCTTGGAAGTAATTTAAGGCCTTTTGCATTCCCCATCGCTATCAAGCCTCCCACTGCCTCGGAGCCTGTTTTTCCTTCAATTTCCACCAGGCTGAGACAGTTGGGCCTTCAAGCCCAGGGTCAACCCTCCCCTTCCTGAGAAGCCCTGAACTGGTTCTCCATTACAGTGGGGTTAGAAGAAGAGCTTTAAATATTGTGAGATGTGAGGCTGATAAAAAGTTGCGCAATTCAACATTCTTCCTGGTGTTCTCTGATGATTTGTTGTAAGAAGGTTGTCTTCAAATGTGTGTGTACACTGAATTCTAAGAAAGAAACTTGCTACATGTAGGATTTTGCAGAGCAATATGCTCTTTTGAAAAAACTGGACAGGCCTCCAAAAATGTCCATGTGAGTATAAATAAAGATCTCACCTGTGTACCAGACAAACTCCACTCACTTCAACTGGGCTCCTCTACATAGACAAAAATCAGTTTTTGTGTGCTGTTTAAACATAATGAAGTGTATTATTGTAGGTACTCTCTTCTTAAACTTAGACTTCTGAGAGAATCCGGGAGGTATCATCCCTGTAGTCAGTTGTACACAGCCTCAAATAATCTTTTTTCCTTACTGTTTCTTTTTTCGGGTGGGGGGGGTAGTGGGAGGTGTGCACTTGTGCCTTACTAGAATACCATGACCTACCAAGCAGGGCCAGCTACCAAAGGGACTCAGGGGCAGAAACAATCTAGTACACCTTATGAGTCCCACACTATGACCACCTGCATATATATAAATCTACATTTCAGATAGTGCAGATCAGGATTTATACTAGCCCAATTAAGAATAGAACAGAAAATAAAAGGGTTTCTGCTGTTGCTATTACTGTTCAACATTTGAAAGTCAGAAAACCTTGCTGCAATTCAAGGCTAAATCACTTGTTTAATTTTGGAATTACGAAATATAGATGGAGCAGAAAGATGTTTGTAACAATCAGCTGCCCCTGAGTCCCCACCTCCCAGCAGCTTACAGGGTTCACCATCCTAATCTGCTTCCCTGAACCCCAAAACCCTGGGGGTCAAACACTGGATTCAGCAAATGATAAACCAAGCTTGGGGGAAAAGAAATTTATTAATATAGCGGTGGAGGGTCTTAAAACACTGCAACACAGAACGCACACTACACAAGGATAAGGAAAGGAATAGGGAATTGGAGAGTAGCAGTTTCACTCAATTCACACAGATTAGCTCCCTGCAAGACCCCCAGAAGGCCAGTTGGCCTTCCCAGATTCAAAAATAACAAAGTTAGCTGTTCCTACTACTAATATATTATTTATTTGGGGAATTTCTATTCTGTCCTTTACAAAAGTCTCAGGATGGTGATACAAAACAATACGGTGGCAGCATAGAATATAAATATCTAATAAAACCAATAGTATAAACCACAAGAAATCCTTAAAATACAGGAAAGATGAAAAGGTTTTGGCCTGGCACTAAAATGAATAAAGCATCAGCGCTAGACGCACCTCTCTGGGGAACAGGTTTGAGAGCCAGGGTGCTGCCACAGAAAAGACCCTTTTCTGGATAGCCACTCTTCCTACAAAGAGGGAATCTGAAGAAGGGCCTAAGACAATGATCTTAGGGGGAGGGCAGTTGTATAATACCCAACATAGCCTTCTTCTAGATAGAAGAGCAGGTTGCTTACCTGTAACTGATGTTCTTCGAGTGGCCATCTGTGCAGTCACACATATGGGTTCTGCGCCCTGCGCAGTGCCTTTGGCCGGAAGATTAATAGCTAACGGTTTTTGGCGGGAACTCCGCTCCCCCTCCCGCCTAGCATTATATAAGGAGCGGAGTGTCCGCCATTTTCCAGTCTTTGAAAGACCGACGTTTGCTCCCTTAATAATTTTTTTGTCATTATGACAAGAGAACCAAAAGTCATGTCGTTCCAGGGGATCATGAAAGCGTCCCCAGACGACCTCTGCCCTATCCCCGCTCTGGAACAATAGTTCATGCATACCCTGTTTTGTTGTGTGGCAAACAGGTCTATGTCTGGTTGACCCCAGCAGTGAAACAGTCTGTCGCAAACCCGACGGTCTAGTTCCCATTCGTGTGACTGCGACATATGTCTGCTCAAGAGATCTGCGTCTATATTGTCTGTGCCCGCAAGATGAACTGCTAGAAGGGTGATACCTCTCGGTATGCACCAGTCCCAAATCTGCATGGATAGGCGGGCTAGTTTCTGGGACCGGGTTCCCCCTTGTTTGTTCAAATAAAAGACCGTAGCCATGTTGTCCGAGGTCACCTGGACGACCTGGTGGAGAAGCACGTCCTTGAATGATTGCAGGGGTTTGAAAACAGCAAGAAGTTCAGGAAGTTGATGTGGTTCCTGGAATCCCGATGACTCCATACCCCTTGGGTACGTAGATCGGAGCAAATGGCTCCCCATCCCAGCAGAGACGCATCGGTACCGAGGGTCACTGTAGGGTACCGAGGTCGAAATGGGACACCGACATTTAAATTGGCTGGTTCTGCCCACCATAACAGGGACTGAAGAACGGAGACCGGAAGTCGAATCCGTTTGGTGGGTGTATCTGTCTGTGGTCGGAACATCCCGTTGAAGAACAGCTGGAGAGGGCGTAGCCTGAGTTTGGCATGTGGAACCACGGCGACGGATGCAGACATGTGTCCCAACAGGCTCTGGATAGATCGGGTAAGGACAGTTCTTTCTTGTCGGATCCGAGAGATGCACCGAGCAATAGCATGTTGTCTGTCTTGAGGAAGAAAAGCTCTTGCCAATGTCGAATCCAGCCGGGCTCCGATAAAGTTGATTGTCTGTGTAGGGAGAAGAGAAGACTTCTGTCAATTAATACAGAGTCTGAGGTCTTGTAATAGAGCACACGTAATCTCAACAGCAGATGAAAGTCCTGCTTTTATGTCGGACACCAACAATCAATCATCAAGGTACTGGTATATCCAAATTCCACGTAAATGAAGGTGTGTGCAGACAGGAGCCATACACTTCGTAAAAACCCTTGGTGCAGTGGCCAATCTAAACGGTAACACCTTGAATTCGTAGATTTCAGAGTCCACCGCAAAATGAAGGAAGCGCCTATAACTTGGATGTATTGAAATATGAAAATAGGCATCCTTCAAATCCAGTGAGGCGAACCAATCCCCTCTTCCCAGCAACGGAAGTATATTTTGGAGTGTGGTTATCCGAAACTTCTTTGGTGTTATGAATCTATTGAGAGCTCTCAAGTCCAATAGAGGTCTGAGACCCCCATCTCGTTTTGGGAACGTAAAATATCTGGAATAGAATCCGTGGAGTCCTTCCGATAATGATAAGTGATGAACAGCTCCTTTAGTAAGGAGTTGGTGAATCTCGTCCAGCAGTACTGACGAGGTCGGTGTAAAACGGATAGGATTCGGTGATGGAACAACGTCGAATTCAATTCCATAGCCATGCCGAATGATGGATAACACCCACCCCATCAGATGTGATGGACTCCCAAGTGGGGAGCCGACTTTTCAGCCGGTCCCCAAATGAGAGAGGGGAGGGTGAAGTTGGGAGGAGAAGAGAGGCTCGCTCGTCGCATCAGCGCTGTCGCCTGTCCGTGTCAAAGCGGCGGCGGCCCTGCTGGAAGAGCTGGGATGGTTGTTGTCTGCGGCATTGCTGGCGTTGATGTGGTTGTTGTTGCCGAGGCTGAAATTGTTGGTGGTATTGCGGGCATGACCATGACCACTTACGTAGAGGCAGGGATTGCAGTTCCATACGACAGGCTGTCATTCTGGATTCGTGGATTTTCTTCAGTTTGCTATCCGCCTTCGCGTTGAAGAGACCGGATCCGTCGAACGGCATCTCCTCAATTCTCCGCTTCATTTCATCCAGAAAATTGCAGTTACGCAACCAGGCGTGTCTGCGGAGGGAAATGGCACCGACAAGCAACCTCGAATCAGAATCAACGTGGTGCCTCGCTGTGGAGAGCTGTTGCACCGTCACCTGCATAGCTTCCTTAACAAAGGTTTTTGCAAGTTTGCCCTGATTTCCTGGGAAGGTGTCAATGATGGCGTCTAGGTGTTGCATAAGAAAATATTGATAGAGCACCAGGGTTGCCTCATAATTGGAAATTCGTAATCCAAGGCCCAAAGATGCGTATACCCAGCAGGCAAGGGAGTCAACTTTTCTTCCCTCTTTATTGCGAGGTGAGGTGTGTCCATGTGCTTCCCAGCCCTGGGAGGATTCCACAACAACCGAGTTCAGCTTGGGGTGATGAAGGAGGAACGGGATGTCTTCCTCCCGAACCTGATACATAGACTCATATTTACGTGAAGTCGGTTGTGGGTGAGCCTGGAGGTTCCATGGCTGAGTCATTGCTTGCCGTAAGGTTGTAATGAACGGCAAGGCAATAGATGTGGATCGTTTGCCCCTGACTACATCATAAAAACGGTCAGTACTCGGTCCCGGTTGTTGGTGGGCTTCGATATCGAGCGACCTCACTAGCCTGGTCATCAATTCATTGAACGAGATGTATGGTTCTTCAGGTGACCCCGGGCCCTGCGAAGTAACTGCTGCATCTAGCGAGGTCGAGTCAGCCTCAGACTCATCAGATTCCATCCAATAGGGGGGTGGTGCACTGGAGGAAGAATCTCCTGGTGACTCTGATCTGCCACTTTCTTTAGACGAAGCCCTCAGGGCATCTCTGGGCGTTGAATGGAAGCGATCCCGAGGAGCTGGCGGCGAAGATCATCCCCTGGAAACCGGGTAATAGGCCACAGATTGGTACTCTTCCCATCTTGAAGCGGAGGAGTATCTGGAATGGTACCAGTCATCGGATCTAGCATCTGAGGAACGGCTCCTGTGGCTTCTCGGGGGAGAGATGACGATCTCGGTATCCAGCGGGACCGGCGGCATTGGCATTGGTGACTGAGCTCTCGGTGGAGAATCTCTTATTTCCCCATCTGAGATGGAACCACGCCATGAATCCAGAGTAGGATCGGCTGCCGTTTGGCGCGGTGATCCTGGCGGGGTAACCGTTATAGCCACCTGGATGGTCGGGACCGAGGGAGGAGTCGGGATTGAGGAAGTTGCAGAACCCGAGTGGCGATGTTTTGCGTGCTCGGGATTCCTCGGCTTTTTAACCGGCTTGCCTACCTTATCTTTTTTGGCCTTCTTGTGCACAGGATGTTTGTCCGGATCGCTGTGCTTTCTCTTCTCCTTTTGTTTCCTTGGCAGGGAAATGGGCTGATCAGCCATGGTATGAGCACCTTCTTCAGAAGGGCATGAGGGCGGAGCAATGGAGGAAGAGGCTGGGCGTTGCGGCAGGTCGGCCGAAGTTGGACGGCCTTCAGGTGGAGCCACAGTAGTGGGAGGCTTAGCCACCACCCAGTCTGACTGGAGGAGAGCCTGGTCCCACAAAAGTTTGCGGAGGCGATTCTCCCAGTTCTTCCTTGCCTGTTTGGAGAAGGCCAAACAATGGCCACATTTATCGGTCCTGTGCCCTTCCCCCAGACAAAGGAGGCACAGGTCATGCGGGTCCGTGGCGGGCATTTTGGAGCCGCACTTCCTTTACTTGCAGAACGCCGCCCGTTGCCCCATCGTAGAAATAGAAGAAAAAGGAGATAGTAAAGCAGGAAAGTAATATTTTTGGGTTTTTTTGTTTTTTTAGGAACGAGAGAGAGAAAAAACGGTGAAAAGTTAAGAAGTAAGTGAAATACTAACAACAACAGGAACAAGGGAATACTAACTTGGTAAGGAAAAAAGAGAGTTTTTCAATGAGCGAGAAGTAAGTAATGATCTAAGCGAGAGTGAAGCAGCACGAGGCACAACGAATGGCGGTCACAAAGACTGGAAAATGGCGGACACTCCACTCCTTATATAATGCTAGGGGGGAGGGGGAGCGGAGTTCCCGCCAAAAACCGTTAGCTGTTAATCTTCCGGCCAAAGGCACTGCACAGGCGCAGAACCCATATATGTGATGCACAGAGGCCACGACGAAGAACAGAGCAGTATTTCTTGGCAGAGCCTCCGGCAGCAACAGGGAATCTTTCCGTAAAGAGGAACTCAGATCTCCCACAGCTCTCTGCTTTTATCCAGTTAGATCAAGCAGATGACTCATGGGGTGACATCTCCTGAGAGTACCCAGGTGAGAATCCTATACCCTTCAGGGCTACTACCTCCCTTGATTGGGTCTGAATGGCTCTGACTTTGGAAGTAATTGAGGGTTTTTTGCATTCCCATCACTATCAAGCCCAGTGGTTTTTCTTGAATTGCCACCTGGCTGCAACGGTTGGGCCTTCATGCCCAGTGTCATGAAGGAAGATTCCTCAGATGAAGAAAGCCAGGGAGAAACAGCACAGATGTGCTGAGTTAGAGCTGGCCATAAATTAATTTCAGGCAGAGCTGCTCTGTGTTGCAAACAACAAACTGCATTATCTTTGTTCCTGGATTTTGTGGATGCTAACCGGTATCTAGATTCCTGGCCTGTTTTATTGAACATCCTTTCGGACACCCCATTTGACTTTGAGCTTTGGACATGCACTAACCATATAGCCTTGACTCCTGGACTGAAACTGACCATTCTTGAGAAAGTAATGCAGAGACTGGGATTTTGTGTACTCAGGGCAGGACACCCAGGGTTAACACTTCCTTTCCTGAGAAGCCCTGAGTCGGTGCTCTGTTACAATATTTAGTTCGTGTTTTAAGGCAAGTGTACCTAATTTTACAATGCTGAACCAATACAGAAACTCAAACAGCTATCTTACTGCAAATTTTGCATTTTTCACTATACGTCTCCAATTTTACAAAATATATACAAAATATATGTGAAGAAGAGAAGAATGATCCTTTAGAAGGGTCCCATTAATCTCTTGCATTAAGGATGTGCAAGATAAGCAATTAATCTCTTGCATTAAGGATGTGCCTCCAGGGGGTGGGGAGTTTCTGGGAGTGGGAGATTCAAGAATTAGGTACTCAGCTGGGCTTGTGATGGGCATATAGACCACAGGATAAATTGCCTGCCTGGTCTGAAGGCTACATACTTCATGCACCATCTAGGTAGTCTTGCAGCTAGTGTACAAGTGGAGTGTTGTAGGGAAACCAATGTTGTGGGGAAATGTAGTCATATAGTCTGAAAGCCATATTTAGATTGCTAGGCAGAAGCTTGCGATCCAGACCATCAGGGTGGCCTTCTCTGAAATGCTACCTATTCCACATGCAGTGCCAGCTAGACAGACAGCTGAGGAGTCTCAAAGTGAGATGAGATGGTGGTATAGAAAAGTGGTTCAGATTTGTTTGGCACTTCAGAACATTTTGGGGCAAGCTGGGCCTGTACACAAGGGGTGGATTCCTCTTGAACCTGAAAACAGAACCAGTGTGCTGGTGCGTAACATAAAAAACTGGCAGCCAGCTTTTAAACTGAACCCTGGGGTAAAGCCAACAGGAGCTAAGAAGCATCTGGTTTGTGTAATATCACCCCTAGCAAATGAAAAGGAAGAAGTCTGATTGCGCAAATGTAGGAGGGGAAGAAGTAACCCACGAGCATATGGCAAGTCGTGACAACAAGCTGAAGACACCAAAGTGTTGTGCGCAGGTCTCTTCCCCCACTCCCTTGGTCTCTCCAGCACACTTAAGATGAAAGCTTAGAAGCACAGTTCTTTATTTGGGCTCCATGGGTTACAAAACAGCATAAATCCAAGTAGCACTCTTTTTGAAATGTGGGAGTAGCATCTGCCCATGTGAGGGCTGAATCCAAACTGGAGCAGCCATTCCTTCCTGCCCTTTCAGCAAGGTCTTGACTTCACTCTCAACGTGGCTCTGCTGCTTTAGGGCTAGACAGGAGGCACATCAGACACTCCTTAACTGGTCCTGCTTGCTTCCCCTGTTCTCCTTACAGGGTCAAGCAACTCCCTGCTCCCTCTTCTCTCTCCCAGTTCAGAAATGCCTTCCTCCTTTTCCAAGGTGGGGTCCCGGGGGCTGTCTGAGTACCTTCACTCTGTAGTCTTGAAAATCCAAAATCATTTGCCCACTTCTGCCCCTACAACTCCTCTTTCGAATCTGAAGAATCCATCTGGGGAGACTTGTAACTGAGAGAGCTGGGCTCCTGCTCTACACTTTGTACCAAAACATAGGTTGCACATGTCTGGAGAAGGACACTTTGTATATTTCTAAGTAAATGCTGGAAGCCTCTGAGTCAAAACAGGAAAGCTGGAGTGCCTGGCTTTAAGCAAGAAGTTCTATATAAAGGGCATTGCAGAAACCTGGTAGAATGGAGAGAAGCAATATAATACAATCATCTCTGGATATAAATTCTATAGGAAGGACAGGGAAAGATATATTTGGAAGAAGTGTTGTCCTTATGTCAAAAACGGCATAGAATCCAGCAGAGTTGATCAGCTAAAAGTGTGCAGACTCCTCAAAAGAAACATTGTGTATAACAATACCTGGTCTCAAAAGTATTTTAATCATACCAATATGTTTATCATTCTCCAAACCAGAATGGTTAGGGTGATCCTGAGATGGAGAATTAAATCAGAGAGGACTCAAAGGCAGTCCTGTAATAATGGGTGACTTCAACTCCCCACACATTGATTGAATAAATTCATGTTCCACTTCTGTTAGAGAGGTTAACATTTTTGATGCCCTGAATGAGTAGCTGGTCATGGAACCAACCAGAGGGGAGGCAACCCTGTATTTAATCCTAGGTGGGGTTGCCCAGGGTGCAGTATGAGATGTAAATGTTATGAACTAACAGAAAACAGTGACCACAAAGCTATTAGATTTAATGTATAGATGGAATATTGCTAAATAGATCCAATATATTTGTTTGACTTTAAAAGGGGAAACTTCTCTAAAATGATGGAACTTGTAAAAAAAAAGTAAAAAGGGGTGTCGAGAGTTTAATCCCTTCCAAATTACTCAAAACCATAACAACAGAAGCTCTGATAGCAGGTACAGCACAAGTGAGGAGAGGTAGCATGAAATCCGAGAGGTCACCAACACAGTTAACAAGGAAGCAATTAGAGAGAAGAAGCCTTCCTGAATTAAATTAAAATTTTGCGTAAATGAGGAAAATATTATGTTATAGGAGAAGTATGCAGATAGTAAGAGAATAAATATTCTGAGGAACATATCACAAACAACAAGTCCAACAATAGAGAAATCTTTTAAATCTCTCAGAAGAAAGAAACTAGCTAGAGAGGCAGTTGGACCTTTGTATGATAATGGAATTAAAACAGCACTAAAGGTGGTTAAGGAGATTGCAGAAAAACTGATAGTAAAGTTTTTATCTGACTTTACAGCAGAGGATACCAGATACCTGTTCCTGAGCTTAACTACTCAGGAAGGGAGTTTGAGGAATTAAGGCAGATAGTGACAAGGGATGAAATTCTCAAACTTACTAACTGAAAGTTAATAATTCACTAAGCCCAGATGGTATCCTAGAACCTTAGCTCAATACAAAATCACCAACTTTCCTACAAAAACATGTAACATTTCCTTAAGATCAGCCTCTGTACCTGAGGATGGGAGAATGGCCAATGTAAGACCAATTTTTAAAAGTGACACAGGAAGGATCAAAGAAGTTACAGGTTGGTTGGCTTCATATCTGTTCTAGATAAATTGATTAACAGTGTTATTAAATACAGAAACAGTGATTAATAGAGGGACAGGCCCTGCTAAAATTAATTAACAGGGCTTCCACAACCAATAAAGAATTTACCAACTTAAGAGAGTTTTTGAGAGTGTCAATAGGCATGCAGGCATGGACAATCAGGTAGACTTTGTTTACTTAGAATTTGACAAGTCCCTCATCTTAGCAAACTTAGCAGTCATGGAATGGAGGGGGGGGTGTTATGATCAGTAACTGCTTAAATGACAGAAAGTGAAAGCGGTAATAAATGGTAATTTCTCCCAATGGAGGAATGTCAAAAGTGCCCCACAGGGCTCTGTATTAGGACTGATGCTTTTCAACATATACATAAATGATCTGGAATTAGAAGTAAGCAGTGAGGAGGCAAAATTGGCTGATGATGCAAAACTATTAAGGGTGGTTAAAACCAAAAGGGATTGTGCGGTGCTCCAAAGGCATCTCTCCAAGCTGGGAGAATGGGCATTGAAATGGCAAATACAGTTCAATGCATGCAAGTGTAAAGTGATGCATGTTGGAAGGGAAAAAAATCCCACCTTCAAGATTAGGTGATGGAATCCGAAAAATGGCATTACTGAGTTGGAAAAAGTTCAGACCAAGGGGTTGGAGCAACTCTCCTATGAGGAATGGTTGTAACAGTTGCAACTCTTCAGCTTAGAAAAGGAGCAAGTAAGGGGAGATATAACAGAGGTGTCAAAATTAAGCATGTAGTGGAGAAAGGGGAGAGAAGATATAAAATCAGAACATGAGGTCATTCCATGAAGCTGATTGGTTGGAGATTCAGAAGAAATAAAAGGAAGTACTTCTTCACACAGCACACACTTAAACTAAGTATGAAATTCACTGCTATAGAAAGTAGTGATGACCACTAATTTGGACAGCTTTATAAGGGGACAGGGCAAATTCATGGAACAGAAGGCTATCTCTGGCTACGAGACTTGCTGGCTATATGCTACTTTCAGTCTCAGAGGTGGTATGCAAGGTCCCCCATTTGCTTGGAAGCTGGGGCAGCAGGAACTTTTGTACTCTCCCTGTTTTAGGGATCCTGTAGGCATCTTGCTTGCCACTATGAAAAATGAATGATGATACAGCATGGCTTCTCTTATCTTCCTGAAAGACACCAACTTGCCTATCCCTGGTCTATATTTATTTTTGGCAACATGATATACCTGCATGTTTTCTACATCTATCTTTATAGTACTTTTTAATAGGTTATAGATTTTCTTTCCTATGGGGCTAAGAAACTAGCTCCAATTTTAATGGCCTAACCTAGTGTTCAACTCACTTACATGCAAGTTACATGGCACAGCCATCCTCCCACCCAGCTCCATCTGTCAATAAAAGGTTATTATAAGGAGTTTTCCAGAAATATGTTTCATTTGCTATAAAAATAACTTATGTAATGCTTCTCCAGCTGAGCCTGAAGCGTCTTCACCAGAGCATTTAATCAGTAACATGAGAAACTTGGGCTCAGAAACTCCAGCACTGTTCATGAGCCACTAGAGGCTAGCAAACCATGTAAGAAACATTAACATTGACAAAGAAGGGAAGCTTTATCCTTCAGCTGCATTCTGTCTATAGTTAACTGACAGTCATGATATCACTTGTTCCAGAACCTAGGAATGACCAGCCCTCAAAATGTAAGGCATCTGCCTCTCCCAGGATGCTTACAAAGGTTTACATGATAACGAACACATGAACAAGCCCAGCAATTTTTAGGAAAAAATCTGAAAAACAGTGTATGAACTGCTCTCAACAAGCACAGTCATGTAACAGCAGACCAACTCTACCTACCAAGTTGATACTGTGCAGAATAATTAGCTGGAACTGTGACTCCTTTTCTGACAGGTAGCCAATTTCCACAAGGTTGGTGATCAGGAAGTGTATAGATGGATCACACCTGACATGAACCCTACCTCCATAGTAGTGAAAGATCGGTGGTACTAATAACCCACAGGCCCCTACCTCACACAACCCTGATCTTTTCCTGTCAGTATACAGCTGAATCTGGCACAGCACATAAAGAAGGGAAAAAAACAACATTCAGAGGCAACATCTTCCAAAGTAGAACATCCCAAGAAGCATCCCCTCTTATGAGTTAAAGCTAAGTTTAGCCCTCTATCAATCTATAACCAGTCCACTATGTAAATGATGTTGGCAATTACCAAAATTGCTCCCTCGTCCAGATGGTTGATGTCTCACCTGTCCTGGACGGGACTGCACTCCCCCTAAAGTGCAGGGTTCTGAGTTTGGGGGTGCTTCTGGATCCAGATCTGCTCCTGGAACACGAGGTGGGCTTTGTACCCAGAAGCACCTTCCATCGACTTCAGTTGATCTATCAACTTCATTCCTATCTGAACAGGCATAATCTGGCAACAGTAATCCATGCTCTGGTAATGTCTTGGCTTGACTACTGAAATGTGCTTTATATGGGACTGCCCTTGAAAGTGCTCCAGGAGTTGCAACTGGTACAAAATAAAGCAGTACCTCTGTTTAGAGGGACTGGCAGACAAGATCATCTATCACCAGTCCTGTACTATCTTCAAAGGTGCTTGTATTAACATATAAAAGCCCTAAACAGTTTGGGACCTGATTATCTGAAGGAATCCATCCATATGTACCTGCCTGTACCTTAAGACCATCTTTGGAGGTCCTTCTCCAGGAACTGCCTTTACAAGATGTGAAGAGGGCAGCTACCTGGGGAAGGGCCTTTCTTTGGGAATGGCACCTCGTTTATGGAATCTACTCCCCAGAGATGTACACTTGGCACTGATGTATACTTGTTCTGGCACCAGACAACCCCCTTTTGATTCAAGCAATATATTATTGCTAACATGTTATTAATATCCACAGCTAGGTCTTCATTTTATTTTCTGTTCTGGTTCTTGTTTTTATTTGTTTTAATTGGGATTTTGTATTTATTAATTTTGTTAATTACACTGTAATTTGTTTAGTTTTACTTATTGTTTAATCAGAATGTTTTATTGAGGGTTAATCTGTTTTAATATATTGTGCCTGCATGTTATTGTGTGTAAACTGTTCAGAGAGCCAGCATGAATGAATGAACAGTACAATTTTTTTTCATAAATAAATAAATTGCTATGATTGTGTGTTCAATTTGGTTCAATGGTGTCAACATACTTCAAAAGAGGGAGGCAGCTACTGATTTTCCAGCTGTTAAGACACATTTTTGTGGCAGGGACTGTGCAAGGAAAACTGACATGAACCAAGATCATATAATATCGCCATATTCTGCCCAGTTTACACTTCTTGTGAAAGTGCCTACATTAGGGTAGGCAACTTAGTGCCTTCCAGATGCTTTGAATGGCAATTCCCTTAATGCCAAGCACTGGTTACACTAGCTGGGCTTATAAGAGTTGTCATCCATGACATCTAGAAGACACCGGTTTGCTTACCCTTGCGCATACCAGGGAATGCATAGAATAATAAAAAGGATGCATATGTGCAAATTGCATTTGTCAAGCCTACAGATTTCAAAGTCTCATTCATTACTGTGAATGTGTTGCAAAGTTATCTTTCAGTATGGCTGCCACCAGACCAAAAAACCACTAGGCACTACAGTACAAAAATGCCACTCTTTAAAGAATCTGATTTTCATTTTCAGCTTTGTAAGTTTACTTTTTAAAAAATGCATGTGGCAGATGTGCAGGAGAAATCGAAGAGAAAGTAATAAGCCAAGAAAAACATCCTGATGTCTACAGATGACTTACAACTTGGAGGAGGAAGGAACTATAAAAGCTATTTCCTGTTCCTCACAACTTTTGTGGCTAAAAATGCAACAAGAAAACAAGATAACCCATTACACAGAACCCCCTTTTCTAGCCTTTCAGAACAGCTGAAGATTGAGAACACAGGTTTTCTTCTGGTCTCAGGCACACAGCACTGGAAACTCTGCATTCTTAATGAAGAGTTTTTCTTTAAAGCAAGGTTATGGAATCAGTCTTTGAGAGCTTCCACATTTGTCAGATTGGCTTACAGAAGTTTGAAAGATTAAGTACAAAGGTGAGGTCTTTTAGATAGTCCTTTAATTAAAGCTTTTTTTTTTTTTTGGCTAGAGATATTTAAAGGCCACAAAGGGCTAGCTTCCTGTATTGTAAGGGAGGAAGTTGCCTCCTGCTGGTGAAGTTTTAACAGTTATTTGGCTGAGGGGAAAAATCCCATCAGATTGATCTTTCCTGTCCATTGTAACTCATTTTCACCAATGAATAGAGAATGAAACAGATCAAGAAAGTGAACTTTGTCCTTTCAACAGTTTAGCTCTTTTGATTCTTTTCCTTTCAAGTCTGCAATCTTCCCATGCACTGTTTTTTGTCACTTTAACCTTAGTACAGCATGAATTATATTGCAGGGCAAATTCTTGTGGAGCATTCCATATCAGGTGAACAACTAACAAACTTTTTAAAGACAAGATGTGCTGTGACACCTCAGAGACTAACTGGTTCATTGCAGCAGCTGCAGCTTTTCATATACAATGCCCTACACTGAGCCTGTACTAACTTACAAGAAAATGGGGCACAGTATTTTAAAGCAGAGTGCACACTCCACATCACTGGCACAGCGACAGGGTCATGATTAAGTAGGCTGTAGTCCAGGCACTTCTAGCCTGCAATCAAGAAATAGGCATGAAATTAACCTAAATCTATGTACTACCAAATTCTGCAATTAGAGAAATCTAACCAATTTCACTATCATATCACTATGTAGAATTTCTGTATCATTTATTCTGCATTATTTGTTTGTGCAATTTCTCATTTTTATGCTGCTTATAGCAACATCAAGATGCTATAAAGAACACTGATGTTCTATCCTGGGCCAATGGGAATCTTACTTAGACTTTCTATTTTTATTTCAGCAAGCACTTTGCTTTTTAAAAAATTACCTTCATTAACTGCAATGAGTAGAAATGGTTTTTTCCCCAAATTAAAACTAATTTTCAGAAGGTTGAATTCTGCACTAGTGAATGCTGTGAATTTGAGTATCGTTCTGTAATTCTTTCATGCTTGTTCAGAGCTGCATCACATTCTACACTTTATTTATTTAAATATTTATTATGCATAAGGGAGCCTTCAAGTCAGTCAAAAGCTAAGAGATACTGTGCTTTGATTATGGCCAGATCATAATTCAGATTCTAACAAATCCAGTGTTCTGAGCACCTTCCTATTAAGTATGACAAACAGTAACTTTAGATATTCCAGATAACTGAAAAATAAAGATGGTACTAGGGATACTGGAAATAACTTTCCAGACACAGGATAAGGCCATCTGACCCTGACTTCTATTAACACACATGCTTTCGGAATTAACATGGCAATAAAACCATGGCATTTTTCTATCTTTCAAAGATTTTGTGATGCCCACACATTGGGGCAAATCCAGACTAATTTCCTATTCAGTACTAATGGTAACACAAGTTTCACTAAACCAGCAAAATGCAAATACTGATTGCAGTCATAGTGGGTTTTCCAGGGAAGCACAAGACCAAGAAAATGCTACCAACATTGTACTTAAAGAAGCTGATGGTAGTGCCTTCTATAGTTCATAGCCAGCCAGTACTACTACAGTTTATCACATCAACAAATGTGTGTTCAGTGTACATCAGGCCTGAATAAAAGCAATGCAAAACTCAGTGACTTGCTTCTAACAACTGAAAACCGGTTCAGATGTAATCATGCACTCCCACTATATGAACACGCCTACCCAAAGTTCAGGAACACGTGTTCCTCCTCCCTTCAGTTCCTTTTTCATGCTTCAGAAGACTGGACAGTTCTAAACAAACCATAGTTCATGATGTCCACATTCTGAGAGTTATAGCATAGTTAAATTATGGTTAGTGCAAACCAAACCTTAATTTGGTCTGTCTGAAAGCCTTAACATGTGCACTCCTGTTAAAGGGATGAGGATGTACTGCAACAGCAGATGCCACTTAGAGGAACTATAACAAAGCTGTATGCCTGGAACTTCAAGCTCCTAGTCACAATATTTTCAGGAATGTAAGAGATACCACCACTTATTACCTGGGAGTCCCTTACAAATATCTATCCAGCATGAATTTGCCAATAAAGATGAATACAAATATAATTTCATGTTCCAAATACTTGACCCTCATATAAAACTAAGCTGTTCAATGACCATTCTTAAATGATGAATATATTGGCTGCTTGATAGCTGTTAATGGGCTGTCTTGGTAGAGCTCCATTAGAGATTACACCAAGCTTCCTTAAGAAGATCAAGAGCATGTGATTATGTCACACTGCCTGACTACCAGTGGCACAGCTTGACAAAGAAGGTTTTTGAAAGCGCCAGTATTTGGCATATTGATGGTGTGTGAGAAGCATAAGCTGAATACTAAGACTATAGGAGACATTGCTTTACAGCATCAGCAACTTCAAGTATTGGAGGAAGGAGCCGAGTGCGTTCATGAAAGAAAATACTGACTATTGAAGCAGACAAAAACGCTGAGCATCATAAGGGCTTGACTCCAACTTCTTTCTTCCTTGGGCTGGTACATGAAATATTTGGGGCTGTTTAATGTTCTTTAGCATTTATAGCTCACTACACCATGCTAATTTTTCAATGTTTATGAAATCAGCTAAATGCTACAGTAATCCTTCTTACCTAAAGCAGTGCTACAGCCCTTCGTAAATAAGTGGTATGTAAATCCTGTACAGATTGAATTATTCTAGCACAGTATTAGCATAATTACAGTCACCAATGAATGGCTACCTCAAATACCATCATATCTCCCATTTCTTACGGTCCATCTCTCCCATAATTATGGTCACTTCCAATACCATCATATCTCCCATTTCTGAAAAGAACTGAAATATTGAGAAAAGGTCTGAAAGTCCCTATTCACAGGTAACACCAACTTTAGATAATAGTTTATATAAATTTATAGTGATGAATTTTTATGCCAACACTCCACATTAATATCCATGGAAGTTCTCCTGATTTCCCTATATCTCTTCAGACTATATATTATTGCTCCACTTATTTTCAAATTCTTTCCTTTGCAGTGACCAGGTTAAGACTTTTTATTTTCTTTCCAGGATCTGTCTACAAGCTTCATGCGATCAAATGTAGCCTCTCTTTTCTTCCTTTCTCTATATTCATTGTATTTATATCGCACTTCTTTCCTTTCATGGAACTCAAGGCAGTTTACATAATTCTCCTCCTCCCAATCATATCCTCACAACAAGGTAGGCTAGGTTGAGAGTCTGTGACTGGCCCAAAGTCACTCAATGAGCTGCATAGCTGAGCGAAGACTAGAACACAGATCTCCTGAGTTCCAGTCCTGCACTCTTAAACAATATACCACAATCCTTTGCATAAGTGATGAAACAAATCAGGACACAATAGCTTCCTACAACCTCCAAACTACGCTATGGCAACCTGCAGCTTCCTAGTTTGTTCTGCAATTCCCGTGAAGAAAAAAACATTGGCAGCATGGTCTGATTTCTTTGATTATTAATCCAGACTTTGATTGGCCAACCAGGCCAGTGATAAACTGCTCTCAAGTACTATTACAATCTCAAGTTCTGTTCATTAGGTGTTCCAATTTTGCTCTGTATGTTCTCTGACATCCTTCCCAACAACTATACTTTTGTTTTATTGCTTTTCTAGCCTAGGCATAAAGTATTAAGTCAACTGGTTACACATATTTTGTTATAATCCCTCAACAGTATCTTTTTCATGATCAACATTAGCATTTGTTCTAAAGGAGCTATCAGGTTTTTCTGGCACTGGTCACTTCAGGAATAGGTATGCAAGGAAATTGGCTTGCTTCTGAAATCCAATACCAAAGCTACAGATCTAGAGACAAGTTTAAGCCTACTTCTGAGCACATCTTTGCTCCTAGGGAAAAAAATAACTTTAAATTTTTAAAAAAGACTTCACTCAATGCTTATTTTATGTCAGCTAGAAAAGACTTGCAGATCTTATCACAAGGCACTGAAGAAAGTCTGATTCAGAGCAATCCTCCACAGAGTTATTTCCTAACAACTACATGTATAAAGGCTAAGAATTAAAGTGTACCCCTCTTCATCTGCTCATACTAACTGGGGGTGCTAGGGACCGCCCCAGGCTTCACACATACAGGGGATACATCAATGCTGATAATCAACACTGATTGAAACATCAATAACTGCCAAGTTTAATTCTGCAGAATCTTAAACTGAGCTTAATGGGAGGGGAGGATCACAAAAACAAATCCAACTACAGTTTGGCAATGTCCTTTTGGCATAAATTAACTAAAGACACACCTTAGAATCACACATTGTAGTTGGTGCTAAGTTCATTATCCCTTAAGACTTCATGCTGTAGAACCAGTGACTCTCACTATAGCAGCAAAACTAGAAACTGGCCCTTTTCACCCCTTCCTTTTTATCTTTGTTGGGCGCATTCAAATGGACAACTTAGATACATTGGCTGAGATCATTATAATCAATTTTGGCCTGAGTTGTGTTTGACTTTGGTCTTGCTTGGGTTCTTTCTGGCCAGTAGCACCTGCCTCTTCTTGAGAGTTTAGCTTCAAAATGGCTAAAGACAACCAAGTGAGGCCTGTTCATCAGTTTGAATTCATTCTGAATCTGGGACACAACAGAACAATAACTGAGCTGGGAGCTGTTGAGTGTTGATCCTTCTGAATATGCCTAAAAATGAGGCAGAGTTATCAGTGCATTTGTTCTGTCATATTCTTCAGACACTTTATTTTCCATGCTGTCACTGACAGGTGGAATAGTGCCTTCATAATATCTTTACAACCCTTTGAATGTGGGGCTGCCAAGAGAAAGGCACATCAGTAAATTATGATAACTGCATATCTGAATCTGTTGCCAACTAGAAAATAAAGGAGAAGAATGATAATCGCTACTTTTGCCATATTTAACCATTTCCTTTACCCTTACTGATGTTTCTATTAGTAAAGAAATCACGAAACAGTAGATTTCCATATACAAAATGACTGACATATGCTGCAACAGTATGTATTACAGTAATTTGCTTTTTCTTTCCATTTTAGAGACATAAAATCTTAAAATATCAAATATCATTTTTGAAAGTATCATATGCATATTTAAACTTTTTTATCCCTCATTTGAGGAGAAAAATGATATTGAGACAAAGTGGTGTAAAAAGGCAGGGGCCTCAAATAAACATTCAGCATTAGGGACTTACACTCTTAAAAAGGACTGGCTGTTCCATTAGTACAGCAGTGGATAGATGATCATTTCACCACTGATTTACTTTTCCTTTGTTCTGAAATGTTGCAGACATAGTGATGTAATCGTCACACTAGCAATGAAGCATCAGTTTCCCTTTTCACTTAATTTTCTCTTGAGAAAAATCTAGTTTTTTTGTCTGTATACATGAAAAAAGCTTGCTTCAAACTCTTAAGCACCGACCAGTTCAAATAAATATCATCTTACTTGCTGCCCTCTTTCTTGCTCACTGGGAATTACCACAAGAATTGAGATGGCAATGATAAAACCTTTTCTACGGAGCAAACTTTGCTGAATTCTCTTGTTGAATCCTGTAGCACTTCAGAATGTGTTATATTCTCCCCTCCCACTTCCAAAAACAACTTGCATGAAATGTACAGAAGCAGAGGAAATACAACATACATGGAAGCAGAGCTAAGAGAAGACAGGGTGGAACTTAAGGGAATAGGAAGGTGGCAAAGATGTTTTGAATACTACTTGCAAATGGCGATAGAATCAATACTTACTACCCAAAGGCAAAACTAACAATGCTTAACTCCTTACATTCTTTTTATTATTTATTTATTGCATTTGTTTGCTGTCCCATAGCCGAAGGCTCTCTGGGCAGCTCACATTGCAATATAAAATACAAACAAAAATAAAAACAATAGCGAACCAAAACCATTAACAAATAGGATTAAAATACAATATAAATACAACAAATACATAGAAAAGGAGGAAATAAACTAATAACAACCAATAAAACAAAAGCCAGCACCAAAACAAGTTCAATCTAAAAAGAAATATTAAATAAAATGTTTTAAATGACAAATAGCTGAAATTTCTACACTGCCAATAAGCTTGTTGAGTTTTCTCAAGCTAATTGCTTGAGATGCAAATGAAAAGCAACTAATGTCAAAAAGAAATATAGTGAAATGACTTGAAACACTTGCTTTAAATATACAAAGCAGAATCATAGTATGAACACTGACAGGGCTGAAGTTAAAACCGAGTTCCTTCAGGTTTTATGAAGTGCAACACATTATATGCACGCCAGAGTAAACACAGGGATTTGGATCCTTGTAAGTGGAGTTTCAGTTACAGAATAACTGCTGCTAGAAGGTGGTAGACACAAGTTTTTGTTGATCCCTCCTCCCCTGCAACCTCTTGGCCCTCTAAATTCTACTGTAGATAATTGAGGAACAGCATGAAGTAAGACTTGGGGCTGAAGGGGAAGGGAGGAAATCAGCAAACATCACCTCCCCCTCCACCCTGCTTCCTGCAGTTGGGGCCTCAACTGGGGTAGAGTCCCTTCCATGACCCAGGAGCCAAACTATTACGTCCTTGCTGCTAACCACCACCACCTCAACATGAAACTGCACTGCTGAAAACCCATTTCAGTTATTTTAAGGATGAACTGTCCAGGATGTTGGTGAATTCTGAATTAGCTCATTTTGGGCAATGATGAGCCAATCACAAAGTTAAGTAAAAGGAGTCTATTCAAGCTAACTGGAAAGGGAAGGAAGGACTGAGTTCTAGACCTTTTCCCAAGCCTCCGCTCCATTTCTCTGTCCCACTCCCCATCCTCACATTCATTAAGGACACTGATTCAGGCAAAACAGAGAGGGCCATGCCTGATTTTTAAGATCTGATCTTGGCCCCATTACTCCAAATATCATATAACAATTAAGAAAAGCTGCCACATGATACTATCCTGGATTCTAGTTTTGGATTCTGTTTAAAATACTGGGAACTGTTAATTTTCTCTTAATTCAACAAAGAGCCCTGTGGCACCTGGAAGACTAGCAAATAGAGGTCATTAGCTTGTGGATCCAGTTTTTTAGGGACAGTATTTAAGACAGCCTTTCCTTCCACAAGTAATATTTTGTTTATTAAACTGTATATTCTTTAAGTGGAAAAAACTACTGTTTGTTAGTGTGACTTTTTATTAGCCAGGAAAACCACCAATCAACAAACTGAAAATTATGAAGTGTTTAATAAAAAGCAATAGCTCTATATCACTGCCTGCTGGACATATTATTTATAGAAAAAGGTGATTTTAGATCATCTCCAGCATGCTGTGCTTTTAGACAGGAGATATGCCCACATCTGTTGCTGCAGCAACTAGGCCACTTCTGTTTTTTCAGTAAGTCATGAGTTTCATTTAAAGTCTTTTGATTATTTCAAGTAGCCACAAACCCAAATACTTAGCTTGCTAAACAGCTAGCTTCTGTCAACAGTTTTTTTTAAGAGCAAAGTGTCTTTACATAGCTGTTTCCTTCAAGAGGCAACACCCTGCTTATTTCCAGGACAATGTGAAGTCTCCCCTTCTTTGAACAGCAGTGTTGTGAAACTGGTTGCACTAGTTGATCAAATAACCAATCAACTCCTAGAAAGATAGCGCGGGATGGTTTCATTCGCAGGAACACAGAAGCTTTTTCCATACACTTTCAACAGATGATAATGCGACATTAAATGCAAAGCATTATAATGTCTACAGATTTTAAAAGTTTCCTGACCGGAAATCCTACATGTGCATTGTAGTGTACACAGACCAAGCTTCTGTGTTTACAGACTAGCCCATTCATTTTAGAAGGAAGGAAGTGTCATGTACACAGAGCTGCATGTTAGGATGTAACCATCTTCACAGAATTAAAAAGAGGAACACCTGCAGATGGAAAAACTCAGTTGCAAACAGTGAACATCTGCGAAGCATTCAATAGAGTGCCTTGCAGAAGCATCCCTTTCTAACTTTCCTGCTGCTGTGGTGTCAGAATCTGGAATTGAAATGTATTTAAGGGGCAATGCAACCACATGACTAACAAGGCCTCAGCAATTATAGGTGGCCAATAAATGTAAGTAAGTAAATAAACAAATAAATGATGTACATAGGAAAGTTCAAATTAATTCTATTCCAACACAAATTTACACAAACAGGAACTAACTGGCACTGGGTGATTGCCTAAGTATCCCCCCCCACCCCTTTGTTGTGACATAGCTAAATAAGCTCTGGGGCAGCCAATCGCCTCCAGAATAGCATAAGTGGCTGAATGGAGTCCGTCTGTGTAACTTGTTTCTGGTAGGCCACACAGTTTGAGACCATATCTAAACAAAGAACATCATGAAGATCAAGCAGCTAGCATAATTTGTGCAGATGCACCAATCACATCTAAGTTACATAAATAAATCTCAAAGTATAAAGTTCCCTAAGAACACTGTGAAATCCAATACAGGTAGTCCCCAGGTTACAAACATCTGGGTTATGAACAACCTGTACTTACAAAACCTGCGGACTGCCATAAACCCTATATGAATATCTTTAGCAAAAAAGTTGTGAATATCTCTAGGGAACTATGCAATGTATTTGGCAAGGAGTCATCAGTGGTTATGTAGTTCCCTAGAGATATGAATGGCTTTTCTCTAGAGCTTTTCTAGAGCTATTCACAGCTTTTCACCAGAGACAGTCACAGCTATCTCTAGGGAACTACACAATGTCTTTAGTGATGCGTCTATCAGTGGCTGCATAATTCCCTAGAGACATGGTATTCATGGCTTCTCATTCCAAAGTGTCCAGACCCTAAATTCCTGGAGAAACCCACTACCCTGTTCCAGCAGCACAATTAATCTCTTGCTCTCCAGCACCCTATTCCCCACCATCACCATCACCATCTAATGTTAGGCTTAATGTTAACTCAAGAATGTTCTAAACTATTTTAAGAACAGTTTTTCTTTTCTTTTTTTATACTGTACACCTATACACATGCACACATGCATACAGATTCTCTCTCTCTTCAGTATCTACACATTTTATTATTACTGTATTATTATTACCATTATTACAAAGCTGTATTGTGTTTAAGATGTTTCAGTGAATATGGAAGTGTTTTTTCAGTGTTTTAGATGCACAGAAAGGTCAACCATTTGGCTTACTCATGTGATCAAACTTGCATACAAATTTGACTTAAGGGCGTTCTCAGGAATGAAACTTGTTCTTAACCAGGGGACTACCTTGTACTACAAAATGAAAGAATACAGCTCAGCTGCAACTCAGCCTAGTAAAGGGTGTCCACCAAATCTGAGTGACTGCGTAAGAAGAGAATTAGTTAGGGAAGCAGACAAGAGGCCAATGGTAACTCTGAGGGAGCCTTTGTTGGGGGAAGGGGAACATATGAAAGCCATTTTGCATGTATTAGGCATAGCAAGTGTGTGGCGTAAAGGTTCTCTGGTCTGGTGAGAGCAAAACTGCACTTTTTGGCCTTCCTGCAAAATGTTGGGAGTGGCTCAAAACCAGCAATGCTTTTCCTTAGTAGGTACTGGGAAACTACTAGGCTGAAATAAAGCCAAATTCAGGGCAATTCTAGAAAAAAACCTATTCTAGTTTGTAAGGGACCTAGGATCGAGGTAGAGGCTCATCTTCCAGCAGGACAATAACCATAAATGCACAGTCAAGCTAACACTGGAGAGGTTTTTAAAAAAAAAAAAAAAAAAACACAACCTAATTCTTTTGAGATGGTCCAGTCAAATGCCAGATCTCAATTTGACTGTGAATATATGGTAAGACTAGAAAGGTGCTGTTTTGTATCTTGTGTACATCAAGTGTAAACAGTGCATATTAAATCAATTTCAATTTTAGGTTGCAGCACACCAAATGCAGAAAAGTCAAATGAGCATGATTACATCTGCAAGGCACCATAATTACCTAATCACATTTTCTTGATGTAAACTGATAAATTTGAAGGGAAGAGCCTGTATACTCTGTGTATCTACAACAGCATATCCAGACAAGAAAACTTAAACTGATGCAGCAGCCTAAATGGTGCTATTCCCATTCAGTTAGCCACCAAAGACAATTCCTCTTTAGCCTCAGCAAGCAGGGAAGAGACTACACACAACTCTAAATTTAAAGACAATTTTTTCCAGTGCAAAAGAAAAAGCTGTGCTACAGAAATACCTAGAGATGTTCTCCCTCAATACTAAAAGAACAGAATCATGCAAAGACATGCGGCAGAGATGTGCATGTTCATATATTGCAATAAGAAAGAGAAGATGACGAAAACATGTTATTTACACCTTGCAATCAAAAGAACCTAACCATACCCATCTCCCTTCACCACACTGCATAGAGATAACTGTAATAATAGCTTCTTGCAAAGAAATACCTACTAATGGCACAGCAAAAGTTTTTATTAACAAAGTCTCTCTGATAACTACAAATATTTGCATCTTGGTATAAACATACTGAGAATAGAAATCTGAACTGAAGTCCTAAAAGCTATTTGTTATTTACCATATTTGTTTACAACGCCATATGTAACGGCTTGGGTCCTGGGTATCTAAAGGAACGCTTGTGCCCATATATGCCCTCCTGCCCCTTGAGATCAGCAACAGATGCCTTCTCTGGGAACCCTCTGTGAATGATATTAGGAGGATGAGTACCCAGAGGAGGGCCTTCTCTGCGGTGGCGCCCCACCTATGGAATGCGCTCCCCAGAGAGGTCTGCCTGGCGCCATCGTTATTTGTTTTTCGGCACCAGGCTAAGACCTTTTTATTTAAAACTTATTTTAAGTGTTAATTTATTGGTTATTTGTAGGATTTTAAATCTTTTAAGCCGAGATGCACTGGGTTTTAATATTTTTATTGTATAATTTTGTTCTTGTTGTGAGCCACCCCGAGGCTTTGTTGCGATGGGTGCAGCATAAAAATGTTTTAAATAAATAAACAAATATGTAAACAAATTCCAGATAGGTAGACAATACAATGCTATAAGAGATAAAAGAATTAAAACAATGCATTAAAAACTATAGGGGAAAGTAAGAAAGACAAGCTGTTCCATAAAAGAACATGCATGCCTAGGACTACACCTTAACTGTGCAATTCTATAGCCCTACTAAGAACTTCAATCCACTTGCAAATAACATCACACAAGAGGGAGAGCCCAAACCTGTATGACAGGGTCACCGACTGTTTTGAGCCTGTGAACCCACTTAGTAATTTAAAGATCTGCTGCAGGCCCCACCACCTTATGCCTAATCAGTGGAAAATACTTTGGAGCCTACCTGCTGCATCTATAGATCTTAGACTGCAAATGATCAGCAAGAACTTTTGTTTCATGTCTACTGAACCCTTTAACAAGGGATTGTCTAAGTTGGCCAATTACTGGTGGTGCAATACAGATAATGGTGCATTTAAACATATATTCTGGCAATGGCAATTCTTTTGGGGAGGAGGTTATCATATGGAAAAATTTGTATTTATTGTATTTATTTATCACATTTGTATGCCACCCCATAGCCAAAGGCTCTCTGTACTGGAACATCTTTTAATATTCATGGATATAAACACTTCTAAATCATGTACTTGCTTCATGGAAATTAACAAATGGTCAGCACAAATGACTGTGCCCTTCTCACAACTAAAAGATTGATATATTACAACAATGCACTCACCTTCAATACACAACGTACCGAGGACTTTATGGCACTTTATGTGTTTGAAGAGAGAACATATAGATGCCACCTTCAAATGCTTAATTATTTGGACATTTGGTCCATTTTTGTTGAAGTCTATGCACAATTGCTAAAAAGTTGTATGCATTGCATATGTAATCATTGTTATGTGTGATCTGTTTCATGTAGATTTAAGGAAAAAAACAGGAACAAAAGTTTTGCAGGTGGTACTTTGGGGAACCCTTCACGTTTATTGCCAGAGGTACCATTGTTGAGAAGCACTGCTCTGTGGCATCCTCATCACCTGTCCCCACCGCTCTCCACGTATTGGAGGGGTTACGTTTGCAGCATGGACCTCCTCTACTTTTGTGGGCTGTCTCCACAATTCAGAACCTTAATTTTCAGTTTTGAGATTGTGCAAGATGCATTCTCAAGTAGAAAAGGATACGCATGACAGACTCTCACCCACAGCACACAAGAGGCCTCCATTGACAGGCAGTGAGGACATGACTGAGCAGACAGGGCCAACAACCTTGTCCCTTCATGTATCACTAATTACATGGGGGTGAAATTCTGGATAAGGCTTTTATTTTCCCTACTCAGTGTCACCTACCATGGAATGCCAATACAGAGGGCCAATTTACTAAGTGGCAAATGTGCTGTATGTTAGGAAAAAAAACTCCACTTTTTCAAAACCCTTTTCATGCACCGGAGAATGGAAGTTTGGCTAGAGCCTACACTTGTCAGAACATCCCTTACAACAGTATGCTTCATTCCGAGAGTTTTATACCGCAGAATTGTTCAGATTTTATCTTCTAAATTAAATATATTCCTATAAAGGGTAACTGGAAGGCCCCACCAGCCCAGGGCAACAAGTTGCAAAACCACATGCCTGCCTGGGGGAAGTAAGAAGTCAAATGAAGCAGGGCAGTGCTTACACCTGTTTCTTTCGAGAGCTCCTGTGAGTGCTGGATGAGTGGCGTGGTGCAGCACACCCATTCCACTTGTTACGTCCAATCTCTGACAGGAGATAACAAGGGGATTCCTCCCCCATATTCCTCATCAAGTCCCTGATAGTCACCAGGGCTGGCAGGAGAACTTGGGGAAAGACCCCTAGTGGGTACTCATGTCTCTATGGGCCAGATTGGGAACCTCCACAACCTGAATCAGGCTCACGGGCCAGAGGTTCCTAACCTTGCCACAGCAGCAGTGAAGAACAATTGAAACCAACCATTTTGTAAGCTTGTTTTATTTACTGGTTGCCCCACAAGTCAACTGTCACAATTGTTTTATTCCACCTTCTTCCCAACATTCAAAGACAACACCCATTCTAAAAATTAATCCATGGGAATATGAAACTGCATCTGAGGAAAAAAAAAGGCAATGGACATGTAAGGAAGAAAAGAAATCATATGGGAAAGAAGTGAAATTCTATACTGTTGAAGTCAATGTTTCTTACTATATTCAGAAGCAAAAGCAAAATGAATTAAACCCTTTAGTTTTGCCCATCTCTAATCAAAACGTGAGCTATACTGGGCTGAAAGGAATTCAGCAAAGCATATGACTTATTCCATGCATCAGAGAAGTGAAATGGATATCATTACTGAAATTCAGGATTTAAACATGTACATTCTGCCTTCATACTTCATGCCAGCAAGTTTGATCCACTTACATATTGTGGAAATGTGAACCTTTATGCAAATAAACAACTTAGGTTGCAATCCTATGCAAGCTTTAAGAGCAAGCACCATTGAATACTATGATATATGTATAGCATTACACTGTTATCTGCCTAGAAGCAGCTTTATTTTGATTACTGAAAGCTGTTGGACAGTATTCTATTCAGATCAAAGGAAGATTGAACTAGCTGGACTTAATTTTTTGGGAGGTGGAGAGAACAGAAGCGATAAGGTTATGTTCGTTTTATGTATATTCAGGAACGGTGAAACTCTGCTCAAGAAAAAACCACAAATCAACACACCAATTCTTTATAAGTCTTCAAGATGGGTTACTATGTTAGCTGTAGCAGTAAAGTCCTCTTCACATTTTCTTCTGTGTACATGGCTTCTGCATGTAAAACTGGTAATAATCCTGAACAGGCAGGGTTCCTGAATATGTAAGAGAGCTTTCCAGACCTATAAGTGACTATACATAGTGCAGGAAACTGAACTTAACTCCACTATGCCACCCCACACCACATGTTCAGTGTATGTACAATTAATGTATATCATAAGAGGGATTATGTTAACCTATGAACTGCAGTGATGGAGTAGACCAAGTAGTCCACCTAGTAGTCTTAACAGTTTCGCTCCAGAAACCACGCAGGCACCTTTGGAACGTCCCCAATGAGTTAGGAAGATTAAGAGATATCTTGCCAGATCAGAACAGAGTCCATTTAGCTTAGCACTCTGTCACTAACAACAGTCAGCCAGATGCCTCTAGCACTTTCTCAGAAACCAAGTATGAGAGTGGACACCTTCTACTCTTTCTTTCCAGAATCTGGCACTTTGAGGTGAACGCGGAGCCTTCATCTAGCTGTCATGAGTAATAGCAGTTAATTGCTTTATGTGCCATGCCTAATCCCTTTTAAAGCATTACATGCTTTTGGCGATCATTACATTTTTCAGGGAAATGAATTCTACAAGTTAATATGAAAGAAGTATTTCTAGTTGAGAGTCTTGAATACACTGCCAGTCTGTTTCATCGGGGGACCCCCAAGTTCTAGTTTTAAGAGGGTGTGTTTGCCAATTATGCTTGTCAATTATTCAGTCTCTGAACAGTGTTCAAGATTTCATATGCCCCTATCATGTTCAGTTGGTTTTGCTGACCAACTAAAATGTGTGCTTACTGCTTAACCATGCATTTTATCTGTGGTATCAAACTGACTTCCTGAGACATTCCAAGAAAAGGCTCATCAGTATGATCTCTCTAGCCCCAGCTCCATGCTGGGTTGGAGCACAGGGCATATCCTTTTAGCATCATGCCTTGCTACTTTCCAAGTGTCTCCAAGGTTCAATGCAAGATTTGGAGACTCCAGTTTTGAACTGTATGCAGCCCATTTCCATCAGAGACTATTATTATAAGAACATAATATATTAAGCAGTGGTGATTGTTTTTTTTTTTTCCTTTTCTCTCCCCATTCATATTTCCTTTTGTGTAATGTGTTTTACTCTGCAAACCTGACACCAGGGCTGTCTGTTCTATTCATCTGGGTGCACTCACGGTGAAGAATGTAGATGAAATACCTTAAATAAAATAGGGTGAGGATGTCACAGAATGCAAAACACAGACCAGCAGTGAGCTCCTGAGTGCATTTGCGGATCCTAGACAATGTTAGCAGTCATTACTGTATCTGGCAGAAGTTTGATGATACAATTAAGAGCAGAATATGCAGTCAAAATTCTAGCACAACCATTTTCCTAGGGAGTATTACTGTACGTTCTTCCTTACCAAGCCACTATTTCCACTTGCACTGGACTTGAAGGAATGTTTCACTTTTAACTACTCCCTTCCATTCGTTCACCAATGTGTTCATTAGTCATATGAAGAAGTACATTGACTAGTCAATTTCTCCCTTGGCTACAATGTGAAACATATTTGTGTTACAAGATGGAGCATAGGAACATAGCCATGTGGCTGCAACATTCTCTAGGGTGCTGTGGGCTTTTAGACTACTTACAGCTATTGTTGTTTGTTAGTCCCAATGTACAGAGCACTCATGAAGTAACATGAAGAAAAGTAAGAATTTGCCAGTACTCCTTGCTAAGCCAAAAAGGGATTATTTAAATGGCTATTAACGTAGAATCTAAACTTGCAGTATCCCACAAAACAAAAACGAAAGCAGTTCCATATGAAAATAAAGTCAGACTGGGTATTCAATAGGGACATGCTTTGGCACTTTACTAGTGTAGAATTCTTGAGACTCAAAAATGACTGGATTGAAACAGTTTCAGTGATGCTGCATGTTAAATGCACATCACTAAACCCCTACTAGTTAAATGATTACTTCTAGCAGATGGCCTCTAATGTCACCTCACACCATCACCACCAGCACTGTGCTTTTATGCTGTCCTGTAAGGCCATTACTTTCAGCATCACCACTATTCTTACTCTCACCTGTCAAATTATATGTGTGGAGTCTAGAGGCCTGGAACAGATGACTGGTTCCTTAAACAAGCCCTACGCAAGAAACAGAGGGATTTATTTTCCCCTTGATGTACGTAAGAAAAGTTAAGGCAGTACAAAGCAATTCGGAGGCGTTCACTGTTGGCTGCATGATACTATCATCAAGTAGTTAACAACAACTACAGGGAGGAAACAGACCATGAAAAATTCTACTCGCTCCCCTCAATAATGGAGCTCACTCACCAATAAAGGGGCAGAGAGAATTAATGCTCCTCTTTAACATCTTCACTTAAAGTGAACAAAGCGGCTCATGCTGCCACACACCAATTAATCTAAACTTAACAGCTAGTGCTTTTCACTAACTCCACAACCCATGCTGCCCTTTAATTTCAGCTAACAGCCTTCGTGTGGCATTTAGTTTGAATTTAAGACAACTCAAGTGTTCGTTCAGAAGATATTTGCTGAAAAAAAATATACCCTTGATTAGGAGCTAACATATTTGTCAAAAGAAAAGCTAGTAATTAGTTATGGTTAAATGCCTCATTCACATACACACTGCTCCACTTACAATGCACAGTATAAATCCACATGTTTTAGAAAATTTAGCAGATTCCTGATTCAGAAACTTTAACCATGGCTCTGCTGTATGCATAACACCAGGACATTCATTTCTTGTCTTCATATTTTTTTTCCTGAATGCTTACTGAAGACTCCATAATTTAGGACTACCAAAGGCTAGATATTCTGTTTAAATCACTGGCCTGAGGCTATAAGAAGAAAGCGTTTCCATGAACCTGTTAGGGCACAATACAAGGTAGGTAGACAACCATCAGCTTTGTAGAATGTAAGACATGAAGGCTTGGCCTACAGTAAATAGATGCTACACAGAACTCTACAACTTAAGGTGCACATATACAGTATATGCAGTAACCTACACAGAATTTTACCCATTCATAAGTATGCTGATGCTACTGGGACAAACACTTGAGAATCCCATATTGAAATTTCACTGAACAGATAATTATCCCTGAAATCTTTGCTATATTCTGTCAAGTCCTCTCTGACTTAGGACAACCCTATGAATTAAAGCCCTCCAGAACATTCTGTCCTTCAGTCTTGCTCAGCTGTTGTAAATTCAAGGCCCACTGTGGCTTCCTTTACAGATTCAATCTCTTATTTGTTCTTCCTTTTCTTCTTTTGTCTTTGACCTTCCTTAGCATGACTATCTTCTCTAGTAAGTCTTAACGTCTCATGATGTGCCCAGAGTATGACAGCTTCAGTTTTGTCATTTTTGTTCCCACATGTTCATGTATCAAGTCACTACAATGTCCAAAGGACAAAAGCAACATTACATGAAGACCTCCATAACTTTCAATTCCTCTACTCCATCCACCCCCTCAGCCCCTCTCACACCCACATCTGCTCTGGATTATTTCTCCAACAGTTTGGAATAGATTGGGAGAGCTTTACAGGGAAGAGGAGCCAAGCTTCCAACAGCAGAGCAACACTGGCTGATTTCACATGGTATTCTAAAACTAACCCTATTCTAACTACAACTTACACATAAATGAACTATCTTATTTGCCAGTTCGGTGCACGCAAAGGAATACAACAAGTGTCATCACACAGATAGCAAATCACATTTCCCTTCTGCCAGATGCTAATCACACCAGCACCCTTTTTCCTGTGGTAAGCAGGTGAGAATAGCCTAGCTACTCACTGTTCAAACTCCATCTGCTTTCTAACATTAAAGAGGACTTGAGAATGTATGCAAAACATTGCTGAAATGCCTCCCATCAAGACCAGAACAGTGAGCATATGCAACTGCACCATTTCCTTGACTATACAGAACAGCACTGCCACACAATCGCTATGGCATAAGGGCCAAGAGAGATGCTAGGATTATGGTGCAGTGGTGAGATGAAGTGGCAGCTGACAGGCACCTATTAAGAATTCATCCAGCTGGTATAAAAACTGCAACTACCCTTCAGGTCATACTAAGCTTCCATCATCAATTTTCTGCAGGGCACTTTCTTCAGTTGTTTGCGTCTAGCAGCAACATACCCAGGTGAACATAAGTAGTGTTTAGCTGGTTAAACAGCTGTCAAGTGACCATGCTCTCTTCCCTGGAAAGCCATAGCTGCCTAAACCAGGATGGACATCAATCTGTTTGCCATTTTATAAGTCATATTCAGGCATTTTTAAAAACATACAAAATGCACAAGCAGGGATGTAGTCACAGTTAGTAGCTCTCACCCATCACATGCTCTAAATAACTCTCCACCCCAGGCACCCACCCAAATGCCTGCAGATTCAAGACTTTAATGCATACCGCTGTACCTCCAAAAATTTCCATATATCCTACATGCCTGGACTCTCTGGTTCCTGCTTGCACAGAAGCCTTCATTCCCACGAACATCCATGAGAAGGCTCCCCCTGCGGCATTCACATTGTATGTACGGGTAGCTGGAACCAGAGCCATTTGGTGTAGATGCTGTTAGGGCAGGGCTACTCAGTATGGCCCTGTTCTTATGTGCCTGCTGGTGTAACCTGTTCAGCAGAGAGGGAAAGAGCATATGAATATAGAAAAGATTACTTCACACCCCCATGGTCCATATCATGGCACTAAAAATAAGCTAGAGGGAGCTGAAATTAAGCTGCTCATATTCATAACTGATAAGCAATATTGATAGTCAAACCAGACATCAAGGTCCATAGGAAAAGCTTTAAGATAGACTGAAGGAGTTCATTCTTGGCTCTGTGGAAAGTGGTTGAACAAATGCTTATGATGGATACAGGCAACAATTTAACAGAGCCACTCCCCACTTTTTATCTGCCTGACAAAGCCACAAAGGTTGACAAGAAAAGGAGCTAAGAGGTGAGTAGGAGCAAACAGGGCCTAAAACCACAAAGGGCATCTGGGATCTTGGCAGATATAGATCCAAAGAGATGTTCACGTTGCAAGGAGACGTTCTAGAAGTATGACTTTACAGAAACTAGAAAATACTTCTATAAACAGGCATACAAAAGAAA